TTTTACAAAGGATTAGTACCACTGTGGGCCCGTCAGATTCCCTACACCATGATGAAATTTGCCTGCTTTGAGAGGACGGTGGAAGCTCTGTATAAATATGTCGTGCCCAAACCTCGTTCTGAGTGCACTAAACCAGAGCAGTTGGTGGTCACATTTGCTGCTGGATACATAGGTCAGTTGATATTATTCATTCTTAGTAATGTCAACTTCAAAACAGATTGTGAATACAAACTCCTGTTTTTTTTTCTGCTCCTTGAAATTATCTGAAAAAAAAATTCAAAACTTGTAACAGGTGAAACTTGGTGTGTGGTGGTCAAGTATCACAAACTGTGACAGTAAAATTATTTACTTGTGTTTTACTTCAGCATTTGTACTAGAATGTAATATGTTGCCATCAAAAATTTGAAATCTGGGTTACTTTTGTAGATTGTTATTTACTGACTTTTAATTGACTGTCTGGGCCATTCAAGATATTTAGAATACTGAATTTGGTTGTTTTCTATTCCAGCTGGTGTATTCTGTGCCATTGTGAGTCATCCTGCAGACACCATTGTATCAAAACTTAACCAAGCTAAAGGAAGCAACTTTGTGGATGTAGCCAAGAGCCTTGGGCTGTTAGGTAAGTTTTGTGAAACATTGATTTTGAAACAACTATTTTTATACAAGTGCGTCATTAAATTTACATGTCTGCATCCAAGGGCCAAAACTTCTTTTCTGATGTCAAAATTTTCGTTTCCTATAGACTGCCTAGATCACATTGAAAAATGATTAACATCACTGTAAACACATTCCTTAGATCCACTCTGGGGGCGAGTTCTCTGCCAGGGCTTGCAGAGACGTGCCCAGCAACTTTCTAGGTTGTACTGTCTGGAGTGCTTGAGTCATTAGTGTGTGAGAGCAGTATACCTCCACTGGTGGTAAGTCGCGCTCTTGTCTGCCTGTGTGGTGTGCTGGACGTATGGCGCACACTCTTAAGGCATTACGTGGCAAGAGTTGACTGCCAGTTGGGACATGCATTCTTTGTGAGAGTTTTTAGTGACTAAATTGATTTTTTTTCTTTGTAAAGGATTAGATATTAGAATCGAATAATGTGATGTTTTTCACTGTAAAAGGTATATGCTGTCAACAGGATTCCATAAGAAGGCCTTTTTATCTTTTTTTACACAGTTGCCACAATTTGTTTATTTGTTCTTTCTCTTTGCTCCTTCAGATATTTTCTGCCATCATTCCTACCCCCCCCCCCCCAGTCAGTCTCATTCAATTTAAATTAATTTGTTCATATTTACATTATCTTTTTCACCAGGCATGTGGAAGGGACTCTTCCCAAGGATCATCATGATTGGTACTCTCACTGCCCTGCAGTGGTTCATCTACGACTCCGTGAAAGTCTACTTCAAGCTGCCACGCCCACCTCCTCCAGAGATGCCAGAAAGCCTCAAAGCCAAACTTGCTGCGCAGGGGAAGCTGTGATGATCCAGAACTTTAGGACATTAATATATTGGGGAAGATTAGTAAAATGACATTACTTGATGGGAAGGGATGCCGACTACTGTACACACTTCATGGAAATCTATTTATCTATTAACTTAATTCATTCTTTCATTCTTCCCTCATTCTTCAATCCCGTTTGTTTACCTGGGGACCACCCTTTAAGTATGACTCTGCTTGTTCCTAGTGATAGTTACCCGTGGACCATGTTTACCCGATTCTCATTTCTCAATTCCAAACAGAGGACCAGACCATACCATATAGTACCATAATGCAATTCACATCGACCATGAGCCAGTGTTTTCTGTTGTTTGGTGTCTGAAACTGAAAACAAAAGAAGAAAATCTTCCGGACCGTGTAAAGTGTACATTAAGCCTAGCACCATGACAGCATTTTGCGGCTGTTTGTAATGTTCCATACTGCGTTTCTTGATAGACTAGCAATAGCATTTAATCTGCGTTTTGACTTCCTATGTGTCATGGTTTAGACTTTTTTTTTTTTTTTTTTTGCACCTGGATTTTGTTATTGTTTCATTCTGTAATCTCACATAGAACCAGTTCGATGGTAGTTTCTAATTCGCAAAAGGCTCATGTTGTTTTTTCATAAAGTCATGAAAACGAAGAACATGGATGCAAGAAACCGTTTTGTTTGTGTAGAAATGTTCATAATGTGTGATGGTTTGCAAACAATTCGATGAAATATTAACTTATGGTATTGACCACTGATGTAATAAATCATATCCTTGACCGTTTCAAACTCCTTGTTTGTAATTTTTGAAAAAAGTATAAAGGTTTTTTACTACGGTATAATTATTTTGAAAAATCGGATTTATTTTGTTATAATCGGTTGTTGCTAAAATGTGGAACTACGTTATATGACTAAAGCAGTACAGCAAAATTTGCTTACAAATTAAAACGTAGTGGCTTACAGCAATAAAAAAGGTGGGTGGTAGGTACAAAGAGACCCAACATTGCTCCTCAGAAAAAGATTGTCGTTGCAACAATTTGAAAGTATTGAACCCCGAGGCTCCTGGTGGAAAGTCCGCCGCGAACGCATACTTCATGATATTTGTAAATGCTGCCACTCAATAATAATAAGAAAAAAATAGACAGATGTGCATCATTTATTGTTGACCATTGGGGGCCGATAGTCCACATTACAATTGGAGCCGCTCTCAACGACGTTATGTCAGGTTCGTCATTAGAAAACGTTTGGTTAGGCAAACGTACAGAACTTTGCGTTTTGTATTTTAAGAGATGACCTTCTCCGATCATGAAGCTGGCGCGTCTTGGAATATTCACAGGAAACAGGAATATATACAGCGTGCTTATACAAAGTGTGTCTCATAACTTGGAACTTACCTCAAAACATAGGCTGTGTCGGCATGTTGGTTACTATCTAAACAGTAAGGGATTTTCGGCAACGGTTGTGAACTTGTGATTATGATTTTCCAATTGGAGTAATGAAATCATCTGGTTCCCTGTGACGTCAGACCATCTCATGATCATGTGGAAACATAGTCAAGGATAAAGAAGTTAAATGTAGTTTTATTACAAAATATCATCTTAAGGACCATTACTTTGTAGTAATATAAAAAAAGCAAGCGCGGGTGAATTACTGGATTAAAAAATAACGTTGTTATAAAAACGTTTACCGAGGACACAGAACAGTGACTTAGTAAGATGCTGTAAAGTACATGTCTGGCAACTGGAAAACAAGGCTCATTCACACGTACATTTCACTAGACGTCTTCAGCCTATCCAAAAGAAGGTAGACGATACAGGCCGACTCCAGTGCCATCAGCACCACGCAATTCAACTGGGGATTTCATTACCGTAAATCAGGAACTACATATACTACTCGTTTCAGTTCATAATGATAAAGTCCTTCGTTGAGACGGATAGGAGCAGTCCCTTTGCCAGTCCGATAAGACACGCACAATGTGAGGTCCCGGAGACCACAGAGAGCGTAGAAAACACTACGAGCTCTCCACCGGTTACGGTTAAACAACAAGTCTCGGGTAAGGAATCCACTTATTAATATTCTATCCTTTTTGGAGTCAATTTATCTCATGGTGATTTATTTACCTCATGGAAAAAAGTGTATGTCAACATGATACGGTTACGTGTAAGGTGAGGCTGGTGGTAGATACCGATTAGGTAATTAATCCGTTTTATCTATTTTAGCAACAGAACAGCGTTTTTAATAGAATAACGGTATTAAGGAATTCCCGTCGCGTTGTCAAGGTCGGAAGAGTCAGCGGCAAGGTTATAGACGGGGAGATTTCTCAGTGAAATAGAGATCCTGAATACTATCGAGAAAGGCACAATATCGAAATCGTTACAGCATACAGTTTGATATTAACCCGACGTAGACGAAGTTTTTTCCTTACAATTAAGGGGCTTACATGTGGGGTAATGTCAAATTGTACTTTCGTGCGTATATTGGGAAAACTATGCCGCTTGTAAGGTCTGTAGCACTTGCCTGGGCATACGTTCAACACTGCCTGTGCGATTTAAGTATATATCCCTACTAGTATTCATTTACCTTTGCCATTTCAACGAGAACATGATAGATGTAGGTGTACGCACTGTCTGTTCCATGTCTGTATTTTAAGAACTGGGGTGAGTTGTGGACGGAATTTTGATCGCGTTTTAACGTTTTTTGATAGCGGGTCCTGGGGGAGTGCTGAGCCCTTATTTTGGCCTCGTACCCCCTCTCAACTTCGGGGCGCCTAGTTTCCCTTCCACCCCACCCCTAAAAAAGGGAGAAAAACAAGCAAGCGAAATTATTGACGAAACCGAGCGCTTTCAATCCATGTACCCTTATATTATAATACGTGTACAATGAACTCAGTAAGCTTTCCTATATTTGCCTTGGGCGAAATAAGCCGACATTTTTTGTTTTCCTACCCAAATCTTAAGGGAGAAAAACTGACAAGAACTTGAATAAGAAAATGCATGCAAAAGGTTAACTCCGTTTGACCGATGCTCACTTTGTCACCTCTCAGCAAAATTGTCAAATATACAATTTTTAAAGACATATTTTAATTTATTTTGTTATTTTTACTTTATTCTAATTCTATTCTATTCTGTTCTATTCTTTTCTGATTTTTTTCGGTTTTATTTTCTTTTATTTGATTACTAATCCATTGTCCATTCGTTTTTCAGCCGAGCCTGTAGAGACATACAGTTGTGAGTATGGATCGCTGAAGTTCTTCGCCCTGTGTGGCTGGGGTGGCATCCTCAGCTGCGGGACAACCCATACAGCCCTGGTCCCCCTGGACATGGTCAAGTGCCGGATTCAGACAGATCCGGCTAAATATGGCGGCATCATCAACGGATTCAGGGTGTCCCTGAAGGAGGACGGGATGAGAGGCTTAGCGCGTGGGTGGGCACCCACGTTTTTCGGGTATTCAGCTCAAGGTCTTGGGAAATTTGGGCTCTATGAAGTGTTTAAGTCTCTGTACTCTGGTGTGCTTGGGGAGGTGGGTATTTCAGTGCATTACAACATTATCTATGAATAGTTATCTCGTAAATAAGTTATCATTATGGAGTTTTAAATTACGATTAATCTTTTGATTACATAATTTCTCATATTTTTAGAAGCGACAGTTTCCAGGTACTCAAAAAAGAAAAGAATATAGTGATTTAAATAAAACGTCCCGTTGACACCTACTTCATATGTTCAAAACGTTTATATTGGACTTTATTATATTTTTAAAATAATGTCAAACTTTAAAGAGTGTTGAAATATTCTTTTTTTATAAAATCTTTTTCCATACTATCATAACGAAGATGTCAAAGCTAAGTAAGTTCAGAAGAGTGTCTAAACCCACTGTATAATCATCTTTTCACTTTGATGAATCATAACTTTAAAAATAATGACCCAGGAAAAGTTGTTTTAACCGCATGATTATCAGTTTCGGAATAATCAAAACACGTGAAGTATTTTAAAGCATCATTGTGCAGTTTTGTAGAATTTTAATCCTTAAAAAAAAGCTAACTTACTCAGCCAACTGGACTTTTGCAGAACAATGCTATACGTATACGCCAAATCTCCACACCCCACCCGATCTACCCCCCCCCCCCCATCTAATCTTACCCTTTACCATCCTTATCCGGATCACCAACATCACATTTAAAACTTATTTTATTGTATTGATTATGCCAGAAATATTTGAATATTTTCTAAATTATCCTTTTGATTCTGTTCTTCTTACCCCGAGCACCAAAGTATCTTGAGGGTTAATATCAGTTAACGCTACAGAAAAGTTTATCACACGACGCCAAAGGCCTTTGATTCTTAGGCTAATATTGGAACTTCTCTTCATTTTAACAAAATCTAAAGGAAAGATCATACGTATGGAGGACATCTCTCTACCTGGCTGCCAGCGCCTCTGCCGAGTTCTTCGCCGACATCGCTCTCTGCCCCATGGAATCTGTGAAGGTCAGAATTCAAACACAACCTGGCTGGTCAACCACACTGAGAGAGGGATTCCCAAGGATTATGAAGGAGGAGGGGTTGAATGGGTAGGTTTGTTTTTGATTTTCTTCCCCCTCCCCCAAAAACACACTTCTTCCATTACACGATTGACATGCTATAACGCGTGCGGTATCTTCTATCAACAACTTTCTTCAACCAATAATGTTATGTCAAATAGATAAAGTTTGCCTGTATTAGGGAGGCTACAAGTTGATTCTTCAAAATGGAAGATCGTTTGTCATGTTACAGGTTAGAGTAACCCACACCATGTACGTTTGTCATCCTCTTGTATAAAAGAACTGCAAGTTTAAAATTTATTTGGAACGTAAATAAATTCTAGTTTCCTCACACAGGCTAAATCATTAGATTTAAACATATCATTCATAGCTTTATTGGAAATCATTACTCGTTACCGAAACCATACAAAATTGGCTTACCAAAACTCGATAGTTGCATTTAAAGAAAGAACTGATTTCATATTTACAGATTTTATAAAGGCTTAGTACCACTGTGGGCTCGTCAGATTCCCTACACCATGATGAAATTTGCCTGCTTTGAGAGGACGGTGGAAGCTCTGTATAAATATGTCGTGCCCAAACCTCGTTCTGAATGCACTAAACCAGAGCAGTTGGTGGTCACATTCATTGCCGGCTATATTGGTATGGTGACGTATTCCTCATTGTTCAATAATAAAAAAAAACAGTCCTACAATGTATGTGTGTGTGTGTGAAAGAGAGAGTATTAAACTTCTGTTATTCCTTAATAATGCTTGTTTGATGAAAATTACGATATGATATGAAAACATATATAAGTATAATGCTTTAATCTGTTTTTCTATTCCAGCTGGTGTATTCTGTGCCATTGTTAGTCACCCAGCCGACACCATCGTATCAAAACTTAACCAAGCAAAGGGAAGCAACTTTGTGGAGGTGGCCAAGAGCCTTGGGCTGCTAGGTAATACAGAGATTTATAACCAAGTTCTCTCAGTACAAATTTAAAAGTTGGGATGCTTGGGAACATTATGTGACAGAGGTTTTGTCCGCATTCTTTCTGGTGTGGGGGGGTATGGGGTTATAAGATGTGAAGCAGTCATTCCGCTTATATACTAATATATAATATTTGAAGCAATATCAACGTGGTTAGTTTGTACGGACTTCAACTGTGTGAAAGTGGGTTAACTGAAGCGCATTGCAGGGCATCACGTCATATATTCGATTAATGATGTCATCTTGTGCGCTTAACAGAGATTTCAGTTTATAATCGCCGAACGACAGGGGGTTGTTCAACATATCTCTTTTTTTTTTACTCCAGGCATGTGGAAAGGACTTTTCCCGAGGATTATAATGATTGGTACACTAACTGCGTTGCAGTGGTTCATCTACGATTCGGTCAAAGTCTATTACAGGCTGCCACGCCCACCTCCACCAGAGATGCCGGAGAGCCTCAAAGCCAAACTTGCTGCACAAGGGAAGCTTTGATGATTTAGGACTTAATTTAGAAAGTTGTTTAATGAACGAAGTTTTTTTAATAAATGTTTTACAGAAGTCAATTTGGACTGTAGGGTGAGACTAATAAGCAGCGGAGTATGTGGAAAAATTTGTAGTAACAGCTTTATTTGAGTTTCAGGCAGAAAACACGTGTTTTGACATTGGTTTTGTTCCATAAGTCGGGTATAATGTCCAAAAGGCAAACTTGGAGCTTGTATTTTTCAATTGTCAATTCATCACTGTATTGTGAACTTTGAAAACAGCTGCACGTTAAAAGGTTAAGTCACCAGCAAGCGTTGCAATAACACTGGGTAGTGCACATAATTGAACTGCTCTAACTAATACTCTTTTTAACATGTTTTGAAGGAAGTATGACGACACAGATTTCTGAGTGTCATCTACAGTCCTTGTTTTTGGCTTGATTACTGCCCTACTTATTTATTATTATTATTATTATTATTATTAAATTCTTTTTCTTTTTGATTTAAAAAGTTTTTCAACATGCGTGTAGAAAACTTCAGGCAGGCGGAACGTAACTTGTAAATCACGCAGGCGCGTTTAGACCGGGTCAGCCCTCTACCGGAGTAACTTCATTCCTAAACGTTAGTCGGCCTGACCTCGATTTGAGTCTGACTTGCTCTGAACACCTTGGAAATCGTGACATTCCCCCGAGTCCTCAGTGGTCCATTTTGAGAAGTGCTCTGCCATTAATCTTGCCTTCCTTGAGCATCATCAGAGCCTTGTTAGCTTGGTCCAGGCTGAAGTATGACATTGGAGGTGGTTTGAGCTGGAAACAATATTTCAAAAAAGATTCATGTAGTTATGATCTGGAAAATGCAACAGTTATAATTTATCTGCCCATACGTCCCTATTTGTTTGATAAGTACAATGTATTCCCGGTTTTCCGGAATATACAGCTTTCTTCACTGTGCTTCTACATCAGCCTTTACTTGAGACGTTTGGTGAATTTATTTTGATAAAAATATAAAAACCCTCTCTCCCATTTTAACGCACTATAAGTAACAAATAACACGGTCTACCTGTTTCTCGGCCACCAGTTTCACGAGTTCTCTGAGGTGTTGTGGACTGGCAACGTAAATTCCTCGCAAACAGTGACTCATGCAAGCAAATATTGGAAGCTGTATATTAATACTGCCACCAAATAGCCCGATGATGGCCAAAGTACCACCCTGCAGAAGGTGATGTTTGAAAATAATGTCATAAATAACAGAATGCAATATCTTACAAAACATTAAAGGTTGTAATTAACATATTTTGGTTCTTATGGCAGGAATAACAAAATGTCACTCTAAGAGTTATCGTAAGGAGGGTGGATATAATTACATACTGCGACTTGGTGATTGTTCTAATAAACGGTTGACGTTATACGCTTATATCTCAACTGTAACTAGAGACGCAAATGACTTCACTGGTTCATTTTGAATTAATCTGCTGAAAGCCGTCCATCACAAAGCGAAATTTGTTATAAAAAGACAAAAAGAATGAACGCCAAATGTGAAGCAACCCTGATGAATGCCAAATTGGTGTAAGCCTCACGAATATCGAGGTGTAACAATTAAGGCACCACTGAATTGACATGAGTAGTTTATTAAAATTTTATTATTGAATTAATCATGACATACATACATACATAGTTCAAGCAACTGAGAGCTCTGCTGGTTGTGACCCCATTGTTCACAAGGTCAATTACGGCATCCACTCCTCCCCCAGACACCTCCTTCGTACGCTCCACAAGCGTTGCTTCATCCACTGAAAAGGAATATTAAACACAACGGATTATGTCGAAATAACTTGAAATATTCAATATATTTTCATACTGACATGGTGGATTTGTCGGCCATTTTTGGAATATTTCGCACATCTCAGTGCCAGGAATTCACTAAGATAAAACCCATTTTACTTCATTTCATTCCCATGTGTTTTTTATATGTTTCATTGTTAGTAACACAAAATTCAACAAAACTCGTACTGCTGTTGACTTACAAAACAGTCGTTCTAGGGTGCTGACCTTAACTACTGGGTACCACATACTGAGAAGAACACTGTGTACTGTTGGATTACCTTGAACATGTTTATTTTCATACTCTCTGTCAATTCTAAAACTTGTTTTAATTAAACAGAAAATCACCTGCGGGATCCCACAAAACGACATCATCAGCACCAGCGGCTTTGGCCATTTTCAATTTAGAAGTCTAAAAGAGAGGGAGATTTAAAATAATTATATCTGTAAATGGTGATTGCAATAAAAGCAGTTTTACACCAGTATAAAGCTTAATTTCTACATCATGCTTGGTCAGAATCATTTTTTTTTTTTTTTTTTTGAAAAAATATGGATATTGGCCTACATACTTGTATATGTAAATAATACATGTATAACAATGACAACATTCACCACTTGACGTTATATTTGAACCAAGTACCTAACTGAATTATAGAAAGTAAATTATATAGACTGAGATTTTACCCTCCTATCGGCGATGATCACTCTGACATCTGGCGGCAGAATGGCCTTGGCTATTTGTACACACCACAGCCCAAGCCCACCTGCGCCGATAACCAGCAGCCTCGCTTTGCCTGTAAGGGGGAATTATTAATCACCACTGCAAATATATTTTCATTTTTCAAAACATCTTTTTTTCTATTTTGATTCGAAACTTAGGGGTCTCGCTAGATTTGAAACAGTTTTATTTCAATCGGAGCTCGGTTGTAGCTTATCCATGCAGATAAACATATTCATTTGTGAAGTAGGCAAAAATAAATATATTAATTCAAAAAGGAATAAAATCCTGTTGGATTCAATAAACTTATACGAGTAATGGGTATTTCGTTAAGTAAAAATAACGGGAAAAGTGCGACAGCTTTTACATCTACTAAAATGGTGAGCACAACTACCGCGTTAGTATACAGCATTTTGGAAACAAAGTAATTAAGTGCTTGTCTTTGCGTGGGTGTTTGTGAGCATTTAAAAGAAACATCAAGAAACATCAAGAGAGATAAGTGACTTAAATTAGCTTACGTATACCTCTTAGTTTAAGCATCTCTTCCAACGTTGGTTTTACGACACTGACTCCGTGGTAAGTTGTAAGACCGCTGCATGCAAGTAAAGCCGCCGTATCCATGCCAACTGATTTGGGCACTTTGACGGCATACTTTTTCTCAGGGACACTGACGTAGGTTGCGTAGCTGTCGAAATAAAAGAGAATATAGGTGTGTTTAACCTTCACCAACGTGCTTATAGATACTTCACTTCAATATTTAATGTTATATGTTTTCAGTATCATTTTGATTGCTTCAGAAAAATTCATGAACCACATTTCAAGAGCACTTATGTTGGAGAGAATATACGTACAAGTAGACTATTCTAAAACAGTAGTCACTGAGTAGAGGCAATAGGCAAAGTAGTCACTACTTAAGAAAAGCCTTGCCACATGACATACCCCCCGGGTTGCCCCGCTCCTAGCGTTCCCTTGACGCTGTCTGGACAGAGTTGATTGGAACCGCCACTACATACGTCACACTTCCGGCAACCCATAAAAGAGTAGATCACAACTCTGTCACCCACTTTGATGTCAGGGTCATCTGATCAAAGATACAGGTTACAATTATCATTCAAATATGTATTTATAGCATGATAGGAATATAATCGCAATACTCGTGATGAATCGTATTTTCAAAAAACGTTTTTTTAAAATGAACATCAAATCCACAATTGAAATTTAACGCACGTTAAGTGAACTGAAAACAGTGACGACTTACCAGCACTCGATTTATCTCCCAGTGAGTGAACAATCCCAGATATTTCATGACCTGTTGAGAGAATTCGCAGTAATTAATACCCAGATATAGAAACTGCGCTATTGAAGTACGGTTTATGATTCGGATGCTTGCTTTTATTTGTGTTGTATCTTGGTATTTATGAAAACTTTATTTTGTCTATAAAACGCGCTACACGTTCTTAAGGAAAGAGCTAATGGTGGCATCACACCATGGAGCAGCACGGCTGGATTTGGGATTTGTGCTTAGAATGTTTACAGATAGTGCCACATGGTATAGCCAGCCCTGCATATTGGGAGAGTGTTCTGCTATCTGTAGGCCTACATACAGTATGGTAGTATCATTTACTGTTTTTAAACAGTAAATTAAAAAATACAATAAAATATGATAAACATAGTATAAGCATAATCTTTTTTACTTTTGTTACTATTTGTCAAAACACTGATTATAAGCTGAAGCATAAGAAGCAAAAACCCTCACCTAGTACAAAATTGTGGGGATCGCTGAGGAAGGCCATTTCTTTTCCATCTCCCAATTCTGTTTTGTTCTCCCAAAGGTGGACATCGGAATGACAAATACCAGCGAACCTGGTCTGGAATTCAACGATTTATTAAGTACTTACTAAGTTAACTGATTGAAAGGTTTAAGACTCGAAATTTACAGGTACAGTATGGGATACGCTGTCCTCAATATACAGCGTGTTTGGTGATTGATGTTTTGGATCAATCAATATTTCAGACTGCCGTGTTCGAGTTATGATGCCTATAGACTACTATGGCTGTAAGAAATGTTTTGCCATTTCTGTCCTTGAAGAAAGGACTATATCAGTTCATGTGGACTCATTACGGCTGCTTTCTTTAACCAATCAAAGTGTGGAAGTTGCTAGTGTCCTTCTCGTCTTTTTCCTACTGTGCGACCCTTTACATATTTTCTTTACCGAAACTAAACCCACAATACACGTTGGCCCACTCAGGATGTACCACATATTTGCATATAAGTTTACAAATAATACCCACAAGTTCAAGGGCCTCATTGAATACCCTCTTTCAGGGCCACAGATTGTTTTTTCACTAGATAATGACACATACTGTCTCTGGCTAAATATGGTCAATCTTCTAGCTGTGAGAATTTATTACATTTTAATGTAATTAAAAATATATCAGTGTAGGCAGGTATAACCTTCTCTGGCAATATCTGACCTTCATCAACAACAGTTTTTACTTGCTCCATTATAAATACCATACTGATGTTTTCAAGCTGTCAGGCGTAAAGATTACCCTCTACCAGGCCTGCAGAAAACATGTGTACTCTTTTCTATCACGAGAACAAAATGACCGTCCATTTATATGAAGACATATCTGTGGATATCTAGTGAAAAATCAGTCTGGTAGAGGGTATCATTAAATAAATTATGGCAAAATAATTCTGCACAGAATGTACGTTCCTCGTGTATACCTGTACAAAAATGATCGCGAGGCCGCGTGCGAAGACCTTCAGTGACATAAAACAATTCGATTAAATGTGCTGACAACGTGTTAAATGGTACAATTTCTGGAAAAGCGACACAACAACTCACCTTTTGCCACCACTAAAAACGCACATACTTGAGATAAATAAATACCCCGTGGGAAAGATTTGCATACAGATTACAAACCCGGCTCATTAATGTGAGATTATGTTATTTGTAAAACGGCACAGATTTAGCTGGAAAATGCGGTTTACATTTTTCTTTCTTTACAATTTTCTTTCAATGGGCCGAAAAGATCGATGAAAAGTTGGACATCAATCGGAAAGTATCATAAACTCCACAAGACCCTTCACTCCTGTTCCATTTAGTTCAGATAACATAGGACTAAATAAGATACGAAATTGTTATGTTTTGACGGTATGATATGGTATGTAAATATGTACATACCAGGGCAGTTGGCTGTGATGAGTAGGGGGTGGGGGGGGGGGAGGAGGGGCGGGGGGGGGGGCTGCCCTTCCCTCAGAAAATTTTGAAAAAAAAAATCTTTTTGGAATTTTTATTAAGCATTTGCCTTTCTTCTCCCAGTACACCAGAAGCCTCTTTCTTTTGTATTGTAAGCCTCCAAGAGCAACTGCCAAACTTTGCTTTTTATCTCATCCTACGCACGGCGCTGCAAAAACCCATATTTGTTAAAAAAAAACGTAATTGAAAAGCATGCTATTACCTACCGAGTTTGAAAGTAAGTATTTAAAAACTTTAAAAGATTTTGGCTACGAAGTACCGGTAGTAAAGAATGAACGTACTCGAACGTGGAAAAAGATTGAAATTTTGCCAGTTTGAAATAACAAATTTTCGTATTCACTGCCATTTCCAAAGTACGATTTGGGAGATTTTGTAGCAGTAAAAACAGTGGACCAAAGATACATTTCTTTGAGTGAACCGTTCTATCAGAGCTTTCAACCACCACTTTGCTCTGATAAATTTACTGTTTCCTTTGAAAATAACTAAAACACGCTAAATTATTCCCAAAAAATTAAAGCATATACCTTAATAACAAGTCCTTCTGGCGGTGGTTTGGGGATTGCCTGTTCCACAATTTTCAGCGGTTCCTTGGGCGCTGGAACTTGAGCCGAACGCATCACGTGGGCACCCATCTCGGTCTGGGGCGTCTGGTTCTCTGTTTAACTAACCTGGGAGAAAAACGCATGAACTTGATGTAGAGTCCTTTGCTTATATTAAAAAAAAAGACTGAAACGGATAGACGTGGAGCTGTAGAATATAAATATACCAAGAATATAAACAGAGGTCGTGGAACTCAGTTCGGTACCTACAAGTGCATTGTGTGTCACTGAGCTGTGTTTTTGAACCATTTACTTAAAATAATCTTACCTTTTTCTTTTTGGCTTTTGTGTATCTCTAATTACGACTGCATCGTCCGTCACAGGGATAGTAATATTTGCTGTCTTCACAAATGCATCCGTTGTAGCTTCGTCGGTTGAGAAGATAGGTGGACCTACTTCCTGTCTAGGATAATTAAACCTTTGTGGTCGTTCGTGTTGTGGCACATGGTTATATATGCGGTTGGGGTTGGGGTGTGGTCGTATTGCGTGCCATGGGAGATTTGGGTCTACTCTCTCTAATTTTATTTCTATTTACCGTCTTTGTCTGTCCTGTCTGCTGATGACGTAACCAGTACACTTTCTCTTCTACGAACCACCTCATATTGTGGTAACCATTTTAATGTAATGGGAATGCGTGGCTGGGCCAATAAAACTACCTATTCCCCCACGTCGCTTTCGTCGTGTTTGGCTTTGCGTCTAGTCGCTTCTTATTATTATGTTTATATTATTATTATATTTTCTTATTGTGTTCGCGTGACTCTTTAAGGTTTTCCTGGGCTGGTTTCGAAGCATCTGATAAGTCACTCAGTCTGCCTTCTAGAGCATTAAATGTTCAAATTTTGTCTGTCTCAGCCATCAAGAGTCTCGTTAATGGCATTCTTGGGCGACTCCCATAAACTTACTCCTGTACGTACTTCTAGCCCCGTGTACCATATAGTACTCTCGGGTCCCCGTAATACAGTGCATCAGTAAGCGTAACAGATAAGTATACTTTACGACATGAAAAGGGCCTTTGACACTTAGCGTAATATTCGTCTTCATTTCAACATAATCTACATAGGAAAGATCATACGTATGGAGGACGTCTTTATACCTGGCTGCCAGCGCCTCTGTCGAGATCCTCGCCAACATATCTCTCTGCCGCATGTAATCCGTGAAGGTCAGAATTCAGACACAGCCTGCCTTGTCAACCACACTGAGAGAGGGATTCCCAAGGATTATAAAGGAGGAGGGGTTGAATGAGTAATATTTGATTTTGATTTTCCTCTTAGCCGTCCCTCGCCTGCAGACTCGAACTACCGTTTCACGAAGTAAAGATTTAAATGCTAGCTTCATAGCAGCATATTATTAGCCAATTATTTATATATTTATTTATTTATTTACTTAGTCTACTTTCTTTATTCGTTAGACAAGAGAGATGTTCAGGAGAATTCTACTGTGTAGGGAAACTACAAGCTGAGTCTCCAAAAATGGTAGACCGAACGCTCATTTTCCATCTCGCAATGTTACGAGATATCTTGTATAAAAGATCTGCCCGGTTTAAAAATATTTTTGTTATATATATTTTTAAATTCCAGTTTTCTTATACAGGCTTGATCATTAGATTTAAAGATATCATTCATAATTTATCAGAAATTATCATTCGTTACCATACAAAATTGGCTCACCTAAATTCGGTAATTGCATTCAAATGTATAACTGATTTCATATTTACAGATTTTAGAAAGGCCTTGTACCGCTGTGGGCCGTCAGATTTCCTACACCATGATGAAATTTGCCTGCTTTGAGAGGACGGTGGAAGCTCTGTATAAATATAAATACGTTGTGAAGCAACTTTGTGGTAAGAAGGGAAACTTTGTCGGAACAGCTTTATTTTATTTTCAGTCAGAAACAACTCAATTTTCATTTACAAACTCATTGAGTTTTAATAAGTTTATTACATTCGAACAACTGAAGGATTACACGTGTTCTGCCATTGGTTTTGTCCAATTAGTTGGGTGTATTGTTTAATAGGCAGATTTGGAGCTTGTATTTTACAATTGTCATTATGTCACTGCACATTAAATGCTCAAGTCACCAGCAAGAGTTTTTAACAAGTAAGTGCACATAATTGAACAACTCTAACTAAATACTCTTTTCTAACATGTTAGTCAATATGATATAAATTTCTGGTTGCTATTACTCCCATCCTTGTTTTTGGCTTGAATATTGCACCACTTATTTTTATTATGAATTTTATTCCAAATGATGTATACAATTTTCAACATGCGTGTAGAAAACTTTAAGCAGGCGGAACGTAACTTGTGAATCAACCAGGAGAGCTAAGACCAGGTCAGCTCTCAAACGGAGTAACTTCATTTCTGAACGTTAGTCGGACTAACATCGGTTTAAGACTGACCTGCTCTGAATACGCCTATAACTCATGACATTCTGCTGGTTCTCAGTCGTCCATTTTGAGAAGTGCTCTGCCATTAATCTTGCCATCCTTGAGCATCATCAGAGCTTCGTTGGCTTGGTCAAGGCTGTAGTATGACATTGGGGGAGGTTTGAGCTGGAAACAATATTTAAAAAATGATCAATCTACGTTTGATCTGGGGACTAGAACATTTATAATCATCTGCCTACACCCCCTTTTGGACGAAAAATACTCACGTTTTCCCCGGAATATGCAGATTGGTCGCAAAGCTTTCTTCACTGTGCTTCTTCATCAGCCTAAACCTTGCGACGTTTGGTGAATACATTTTATGAACCACACTAGTGATAAAAATAACCCTCTCTCTTCCACTTTAAAGCATAGTAAGTAACAAATTACATGGTATACCTGTTTCTCGGCCACAAGTTTCACGAGTTCTCTCAGGTGCTGTGGACTGGCAACGTAGACTCCTCTCAAACAGTGAGTCTTACAGACAAATGTTGGAAGCTGTATATTAATACTGCCGCCAAATAGCCCAATGATGGCCAAAATACCACCCTGCAGATGGAAAGTGATGTTTGAAAATAATGCCATGAATAATGGAGTACAGTATCTTACATCTGATGACTAATCACAAGTTCATTTTAAATCAAAATCTGCTGCAAAGAAAATATGAAATAAAAACATCAATAAAATAGACAAAACGCCAAATGTAAAAAAAACCCCTATGAATGCCACATTGGTGTCACATTGGTGTCATAATTAAAGCACCACTGATATTTAAATTGGAATTGACATTACTAGTTTATTGAACCACTTATTATCAGATTAATCATGACATACATACATAATTCAAGCAGTTGAGAGCTCTGCTGGTTGTGATCCCATTATTCACGAGGTCAATTACGGCGTCCACTCCTCCCCCAGATATCTCCTTCGTACGCTCCACCAGCGTTGCTTCATCCACTGAAAAGGGAATATTAAGCACAGCTGGATTATGCCGAAAGAACTTATATATATATATATAAATATATATATATATATATATGTGACATGTTGGATTTGTCGGCCATTTCTGGGATATTCGCATATTTCATTGCCAGGCATTTGCTGGGATAAAACACATTCCTACTTTGTTAAATTCTCTTGTATTTTATTGTTAGCAACACGACATTCAACAAAATCGTACTGCTGTTGAATTGCAAAATACCTGTTCTACATTGTGTACTCTTGAATTAACTTAAACATGTATATTTGTATGCTCTTACTCATTTCTAAAACTTGCTTTTTAATTCAACACAAAATCACCTGTGGGATCCCACAACACGACATCATCAGCACCAGCGGCTTTGGCAATTTCTAATTTAGAAGTCTAAAAGGGAGGAGGTTTCATTATAGCAATATTAATTATATAGGAGGAGCCAATCAGCAGTTAATAGTGAATGCAATAAAAGCAGTCTTACACCGGTGAAAAAACCTCCGGCGGAAGTGACCAAAGCTTTCTACACCATGCTTGGTCAGAATCAATTAAAAAAAGATATAGGGCTACATACATTGCTTGTATGTAAAAATATAACAATGACAACAGTCACCACCTTTATGTTACATGAAGAAGTGAACCAAAAACTTTAAGTTATATTTGAACTAAGCACCTAATTAAAATAAAGATAATGAATTATATAGACTGAGATTATACCGCGATATCGGCAACGATCACTCTGACATCTGGCGGCAGAATGGCCTTGGCTATTTGTACACACCACAGCCCCAGTCCCCCTGCGCCGATAACCAGCAGCCTCGCTTTGCCTGTAAGGAGAAATTACATAGCACTAGCTTTATCACTACTGCAAATATATTTTCACATTTTCAAAAAGCCTTTTTAAATTTTGATTTGAAAGTCAACGCAAAAGCTTTGTGCGGATAAACAGATACGTTTGTGAAGTCATAAATAAATTAATAAAAACGAAGAAAACCCTGCTGGATTCAATATACTTTGACGAATAAATGGTGTTTGGTTTTATTGAAAAATACCGAGGAAAGTGCGACAGCTTTCACGTCTACCAAAATGGTGACACAACTACCACAATTGCGCTAGTGTAAAGTTTTCGAAACATGGCATGTCTTTGTGTGGGAGCACGTAAAAGGGAGATAATCAGAAAGAAAGATAAGAGAGTAAGGAAAGCTTTATATACCTCTTAGTTTAAGCAGCTCTTTCAATGTTGGTTTTACGACGGTGACTCCGTGGTAAGTTGTAACACCGCTGCAGGCAATGATAGCCGCCGTGTCCATACCAACCGATTCGGGCACTTTGACGGCATACTTTTTCTCAGGGACACTGACGTAGGTTGCGTATCTGTAGCAAAATAAAAATAGAATAGATGCGTGAAACCTTTACCAACGTGCTTATAAACGCTTCATTCCACTGTTCAAAGTAAATTGTTTTCAATATCATATCCTTTTGATGGATTCAGAACAATCCACGATCCGCATTTTTGAGAGCATTTACTTTGGGAAATTATGCGTACAAGTATTCACTGAGTAGAGGCAATAGGTACTACTTGTAAAGAGTCTTGACAAATGACATACCCCCCGGGTTGCTCCGCTCCAAGCGATCCCTTGATGGTGTCTGGACAGAGTTGATTGGAGCCGCCACAACATGCGTCACACTTCCGGCAACCAATGAAAGTGTAGATCACAACTCTGTCACCCACTTTGATGTCAGGGTCATCTGATCAAAGATGCTGGATATAATTGTCATTCAAATCTGTATATTTAATAGTATAATAGAGGATTTTTAAATAAGTTTAAAAAGGGGGCATCAAATCCGAAATATAAATTTTCAGTGACCGCGAAGCATCCGGTGTTTATTTTAGGACCCAAAATACACCCTTATCTTCTATCCTGGGTTTCTTAAATACTTAAAACACCACTCACCTGCACTCGATTTATCTCCCAGTGAGTGAACAACCCCAGATATTTCATGACCTGTTGAGATAAGCAATAATGAATATCTAGAAGCAGAAATTGCGCTATTGAAGTACGATTAATAATCCGGACGTTTATTTTTGTTGCACCTAAAGATTCATGGAACATTTATGAAACGCGCTAAAAGCAATCTTACAATCTCGTTTGCGTATGTGCGTGTGTGCGTTCGTGTGCGAGTTTGCGTGTGTGCGAACAGCGTTGAATAGTAATTGCAAGACCTATATTTTTGGGGTCGTTTCAAAACACTGATTTTATGCTAAAGTAAAAGGAGTGGAAACACCCACCTAGTACATAGTTGTGCGGATCGCTAAGGATGGTCATTTCTTTTCCATCACCCAATCCTGTTTTGTTCTTCCAAAGGTTGACATCAGAATGACAAATGCCAGCAAAACTGGTCTAGAATAAAGCGAATGATTTAGGACTGACTTATTTAGTTGATTAAAAGATTTAACACTGGAAATTTAAAGGCATAAGGTGCAATACACTTGCCTTAATATACAGTGGGTTTGCTGAATGATATTTTGGATATGTCAAGTTTGAAACATTGACAGAGCATCAATTTCTCTTTCCGACTGCCGTGTCAGAGTTCTGACGTGCATGGCTGTCAGGTTGTTCTTGTCACTTCTGTTCTTGAAGAAGGGCCTACATCTATTCATCTGACCTCATTCCATTGCCTTCTTAAACCAGTCTAACTAAAGTTGCATAAGTTGTACAAATAATAGTCACAAGTTCAAAGGCTAAATTATGGCAAAACAATTATAACTGTATAACTGTACAAAAATTATTACGAGATCATGCGCAAAAACCTTCAGAAATATAAAACAATTGGATTATGTGTGCTGACAACGTTTTAAATGGTAGAAGTTTTGGTAAAGCGATACAAATCAGATTCGTTGGAGGACACCTAGGTCATTAACTCGCTTTTTGCCACCACTTAGAGCACACAAACTTCAGATAAATAAAAACCCCGTGGGGTAATAAATTCATCATCGTTCAAACACCTACAATATATCAGATTACAGACCAGGGCTCATTAACGCTAGATTATGCAATGTCCACACGGCAAAACAGCACAGATTTAGCTGGGAAATGCATTTTACAATTTTCTTTCAATGGATCGCAAAGATCGACGAAATCCTTCATTCTTGTGCCATTTAGTACAAATATTTATAGAACTAACGTTAAAAGATACGAAGTTGTAATGTTTTGTAGTTATGAATGTAAATATGTACATTCCAGGGCCGAAGGCTGTGATGAGTTGAGAAAGGGGGAGAGGGGGCTTCCCTCAGAAAATTAAAAAAAAATTATTTTAGAATTTTTATCAAGCATTTGCCTTTTCTCTCCCAGTACACCAGAAGCCTTTGTCTTTTGTATTGTAAGCCTCCAAGAGCAACTGCCAAACTTTGCTTTTTTATCTCATCCTACGCATGGCGCTGCAAAAACCCATATTTGTTAAAAAGAAACGGAACTGAAAAGCATGCAATTACCTCCGGTGTTTAAAAGTTAGTATTTATAAACTTTTAAAGATTTTAGATACAACCTACATCTACCGGTGGTAGTATTAACGCACTTAAAATATGGCAAAAAGATATACATATTTCACTGTCATTTCCAAAGCACGATTTGGGAGCTTTCAACCGTCACCTTGCCTTGTTAAATTTGTTTCATTTGAAAATAACTAAAACACACTAAATTGTTGCTAAAAGAAATAAAGCGTATACCTTAATAACAAGTCCTTCTGGCGGTGGTTTGGGGATTGCCTGTTCCACAATTTTCAGCGGTTCCTTGGGCGCTGGAACTTGAGCAGAACGCATCATGGGAGCAGCCATCTCAGTCTGGGGCGTCTGGTTCTCTGTTTAACTAACGGGGGAGAAAACGTATGACCTTGTAGGGTTGTTGGCTAATATTTAAAAAAGATAGAAAGTAACCTTTGAACTGCAGGGACGTGGAGCTGTAGAATATAACAGTCATTCTTTGCTAGTGGTGCACTGCAGGGGGGCCATAACAAGAATGTTATTTAAATTTAGATAGCCAACCAAATTCTCATGACATCGTTGTGTATGTTTCAATAACAAATCAAAGAAGCTGCATGAGCAAGGAGGATGTTGTTATAAAAGCAAAAAAATAGAAAAAGCAGAAAATATATCGAAATAACCCTCAAAATGGCGTCCTTTTTTGTGGAATTTTGACCCTACCTCTATTTAAGAACAGTTTGCTTAGGGTTTGAATGGATTATTGAAGCAGGAAATACATGTACTGCAAGAAGATATAATAAACAGAATGTGCAAATTGTTATTTAAATAAAAATTTATTTGAAGTCACTGAAAAATGATCACAAAATTAGCTTACCTTACGATACATGCGGTGTCCCACCCCGATGAAAATTTCATCTAATCCTATCTTTCCGTATTAAAACTGTTCAATCGTCCAAAGTAGTATGTCGGTTAGTTTGTGTCACGAAGTCCATGATAATATCAGTTTTCATAAGAATTTCACATTTATTGCTCAGCAAGGTCGATTTTTCTTCACCGCGTCCCAATATAACGTTCGCAACGCTGAAACTTCAGAGATCGATTTTTATCAGACGACTTTAAAATGCCGCGTGAAAATTATACATCGATAGCGATCTTCTTCCATACTCACTAACTGATGACGTCTTACACACGAATGGCTTCTTTTGCACACTAAAAAAACCAGCTCAAACTGGCGGGTGGCCCATTCTGATAACATATCACGCAATGACGCTGTCGAGATAGGATGCAGGGCACAGGTGTAATTCCCTCGATTTAACCGTCCGTGCCATGGGAGATTTGGTTCTACCCGTCTAATTTTATTTCTTTTTACCGTCTTTGCCTGTCCTGTCCGCATTTTTTCTGTTGGTTAGGGGCGTTGTAGATATGAAGATATAAGATTTTTTAATTAACCGTTTTAATTAACCGCACATATTAACGGGGTTAATTTATGCGGACTTAGACTGCGCTAAAGGAGATTTATTGAAACATATTGCAGGACATCACATCATTTATTTACTGGCAAATTAATTTATTCGATTGATGATGTCATCTTGACGTGAACCTCTACGGTTCACCTACATCTCTGTTATGATCGCGGAATGACCGTGATGTTTAACATACCTCTTTTTTTACTCCAGGCATGAGGAAAGGACTTTTCCCGATAATAATGATTGGTAACCGCATTGCAGTCGTTCATCTACGATTCAGTCAAAGTCTATTACAGGCTGCCACGTCCACCTCCACCAGAGATGCCAGACAGCCTCAAGCCAAACTTGCTGCACGGGGGAAGCTGTGATGATTTAGGGTTTATTTTAGAAACTTGTTTAATGAACGGAATTTTTCTAAAATAAGTGTTGTACAGAAGCGTCAAATTGGACTGTGACTGTTGAGTAAGACTAATAAGATACGTAATACCAGTATGTAGGGAAATTTTGCCTAACAGCTTAATTTGAGGTTCAAACAGAAAACAACGTGATTTTAATAAGTCTACTACATTCGGACAACTGGTGGATTACTCGTGTTCTGACACTGGTTTATTCCATAAATCGGATCTAATGTCTAACAGGCAAACTTGGAGCTTTTATTTTACAATTGTCAATTTATCAATGTATTTTGAACTTTCAAAACAGCTGCACGTTAAATGCTTAAGTCACCAAATAGCGTTTTAATAACACCGGGTAGTGCACATAATAGATCTACTCTAACTAAATACTTTTTCTATGTGATAGATACTCTTTCTAATACGTTATGAAGGAAATATGACGATAAAGATTTCTGAGTGTCATTACTCCAATCCTTGTTTTCGGCTTGGTTATTGCGCCACTTATTTTTAGTATTTAATCTTTTTTTTTGCTTTACACATTTTTAAACATGCGTGTAAAAAACTTAAAGCAGGCGGAACGTTACTTGTGAATCACTCATGCGCGTTCAGACCGGGTCAGCCCTCAACCGGAGTAACTTAACTGCAGAACGTTAGTCGGAAAAACCTCGGTTTTAGTCTGACCTGCTCTGAACACGCCTTAGAACTCGTGGTATTCAGTCGGTTGGTTCTCAGTCGTCCATTTTGAGAAGTGCTCTGCCGTTAATCTTTCCATCCCTGAGCATCATCAAAGCTTCGTTGGCTTGGTCCAGACTGTAGTATGACATTGGGGGTGGTTTGAGCTGGAAACAATGTTAAAAATGATTCACCTAGTCATAATCAGTCATAACCTATTTGTATGATAAATATTCAGTTTTTTTTTCGGAACATTTAGGTTGGTCATTTAACTTTCTTCATTGTGCTTCTTCATCAGCTTAACCTTCAGACGTTTGGTAAATATATATTTTATGACCCACAATACTGTCGAAATATAACCGCTCTCACCCACTTTAAAGCATGAAAAATAACAAATTACACGGTCTACCTGTTTCTCAGCCACCAGCTTCACGAGTTCTCTCAAGTGTTGTGGACTGGCAACGTAGACTCCTCTCATACAGTGAGTCTTGCAGGCAAATATTGGAAGCTGTATATTAATACTTCCACCAAATAGCCCGATGATGGCCAAAATACCACCCTGCAGATAAAAAGTGATGTTTGAAACACTGCCGTAAATAATGGAATATAATATCTTACAAAACATTATACGTGGCAATAACAGATTTTGGATTTTATGTCAGGAATAACAATATGTAACTTGGTAAGAGGTGCATGGACAATTACACGTTGCGACTTTTATTATGTGGCAATTGATCTGATAAACGGTTGACGTTATACGGTTGATTTATATTTCAACTGTAAGTAAAGACGCAGATGGCTTTTAACAGGTTGATTTTTAATTATTTTCAAATGAAGCCATCCACCACAAAGGGAAATATGCAATAAATACACATACACGTGCACAATGAACGCCAAATGTGAAACAACCCTGTTGAAAACCACCTTGGTGAAAACTTCACGTATATCAAGGTGTCACTTTTATGGCACCATTGGTATTTAAATTGGAATTTTATAATGACAGTTTATTGAATTATTTATTATTAAATTTATCATGAGATACATACATACATACATACATACATAGTTCAAGCAGTTGAGAGCTCTGGTGGTTGTGACCCCATTGTTCACAAGGTCAATTGCGGCATCCACTCCTCCCCCAGATATCTCCTTTGTACGCTCCACCAGTGTTGATTCATCCACTGACAAGGGAATATTAAACACACCGGATTATGCCAAGATAACGTGAAATATATTCAATATACATTCATAAATATAGTATACTGACATGTTGGATTTGTCGGCCATTTTTGGAAAATTTTCGCACATCTTAGTGCCAGGAGTTTTCTGAGATAAAACGCGTTTCTACTTTATTGATTTATCATGTCCATTTTTTTCTTTAAATTGTATATGTTATTAGCAACACAAAATTCAACAAAACTTGCACTGCTGTTGTACAGTGTACCCAGCAATCGCAGACCGTTCTCTGTTTACTGAATACAAAACGTTCCTTCTAGAGTGGCAACTTTTAACTACCACATACCGAGAAGTACTGTTGAATTTACCCGAACCCGCATATTTGTTTATTCCCTAGTCATTTTGAAAACTTGCTTTTTTAATTCAACAAAAAAATCACCTGCTGGATCCCACAAAACGACATCATCAGCACCAGCAGCTTTGGCAATTTCTAATTTAGAAGTCTAAAAGAGAGGAGGTTTCATTATAGCAATATTAATTATGTAGGAGGGGAAAATTATAGCAGTTAATAATGAATGCAATAAAAGCAATCTTACACCAGTGAAAAAACTTTCGGCAGATGTGACCCAAACCTTCTACGTTATGCTTGATCAGGATTAACACATTTTTAAAAATATGGATACATGACATCATACATGTATGTAAACAAATAACAGTGACAAAAGTAAACATCTTCGTAATACGTGCAGTAGTTTACCAAAACTAAATGTTATATTAGAACCAAATACCTAATTGAAAATTTCACGTAATTGAAAACATAATGTAAGACTGAGATTTTACCGTAATATCGGCGCTGATCACTCTGACATCTGGCGGCAGAATGGCCTTGGCTATTTGTACACACCACAGCCCCAGTCCCCCTGCGCCGATAACCAGCAGCTTCGTTTTGCCTGTAAGGAGAAATTACATAGCACTGGCTTTATCACCACTGCGAATATGTTTTCATATTTCATAAAGTTTTTTCCCTATATTGATTTGAAAGTCAACGCCATGGCTAGATTTCAAGCACAGTTTGTTGCAATCGGAGCTGTGCTGTAGCTTATCTGTGCGGATAAACATACTCGTTTGTGAAGTAAACAAAAATGAATTAATTAATTAAAAAAAGGAAAAAATCCTGCTGGATTTAATATTCTTTTACGAATAAATGGTGGTTGTTTGATTTTAAGTGAAAATACAGAGAAAAATGGGACAGCTTTCACAACTAACACAATCGCGCTCGTGTAAAGTGTTTGTTTTTCTATGGGAGTTTGTGAGCATGCAAAAGAAAGATCGCCAGCTAGACAGATAAGAGAGTAAAATTAGCTCACGTATACCTCTTAGTTTAAGCAGCTCTTCTAATGTTGGTTTTACGACGCTGACTCCGTGGTAAGTTGTAACACCGCTGCAGGCAATGATAGCTGCTGTATCCATGCCAACCGATTCGGGCACTTTGACGGCGAACTTTTTCTCAGGGACACTGACGTAGGTTGCGTATCTGTCGAAAAAAAAAGGATAATACAGATGAGTGAAACTTTACCCAAAGTGTTCATAAATGCTTCACTTCAATGTTCAAAGTAAACTGTTTTAAGTATCATTGCCATTTAATAGCTTCATAATTTGAGCACCTCATTTTTGAGAGCATTTACGTTGGAGAGAATATGCGTGGAATATTCTAAGACAGTAATAGCTTAGTAGAGGCAATAGGCAAAGGACAGTAGGTACATGTACTACTTGTAAAGAGTCTTGACACATGACATACCCCCCGGGTTGCTGCGCTCCAAGCGTTCCCTTGATGGCGTCTGGACAGAGTTGATTGGAGCCGCCACTACATACGTCACACTTCCGGCAACCAATGAAAGGGTAGATCACAACTCTGTCACCCACTTTGATGTCAGGGTCATCTGTACAAAGATATAGGTTATAATTATCATTCAAACCTGTATCTGTAGCATGAAAGGAAATATCATAATCGCAATACTCGTGATGAATCTTGTTTTCAAAATAAAATTTAAAAGGGGCATCAAATTCACTTCAATTCAATTTTTCATGCTAATTAGAGGGATAATAACTCTTCGTGTGAGATCTATATTTCACAATAAATACATTGTGAACAACTCATAGATATATAATTTATTCTGTTTTACCACAAAAACAGCAGTTATATATATTATTCTGAAATCTGAGCTTGTCTTTAGACCACGTGACCTCCATTGATGGCTATACTCTCTTATAATCTCTTAAGATGTTATAACTAAAAAAAAACTTAAAAAAAAACAACAACAAGGGACTAACTTTGAATGTAAAAATGGATTCATTAACCATTGGTAAGTATGGAAAATTTGTTGTTTACTCCAGGAAAATTCATTTTTTTATTGGCCAAAACGAGTTATTATCCCTTTAAGCGAACTGAAAACAGTGACCGTGAAACATCCTGCATTTAGTGCATCTTAAAAACGCCACTTACCAGCACTCGATTTATCTCCCAGTGAGTGGACAATCCCAGATATTTCATGACCTGTTGAGAGAGTATTCGTAGTAATGAATATCCAGTTATAGAAATTGGAGTACGATTAATAATTAATTTTGGCTTTTATTTGTTGTGCCTGAATATTTATGAAACAATTATTTTTTTCTTTGAAACGCGCTACACATTCTTCAGAGAAGAATATATTAGTGTGTTTGCGTACATGAACATGCGTTTGCATGTGTGTGTGTGTGTGTGTGTGTGTGTGCGCGCGCGCGCGCGCGCCCGTGATTAATAAAAAATATATTTTTTAGAAGAAATATAGTCAACTCTGAGACAGGCACATACTACGACAAGTGTATCAAGCAGTTACTTTGTGTAGAAATTTGTTAATTTCCATGTATACATGTATTTATGAGTACTATGAATAAAGTTACGTTCTTCTGTCTTGCAGTGAATTTGGCCAAGTGCCAATATATTCTAACTGGCTCCAAGTTCACAAAAAAAAAAAAAAAAAAAAAATTAAGTCAGGTTCCCTGGCTCGGAACTTAATTCCAAAGTTACATGGTCACATGGGCACATCTTACCCTATCAGGAGCAGTGTAACAGTACTCTCATTCATAGAAACTCTAGTCAACTAAGCCAGGGAGCTGACTTATGGCTGACTTATGTTTTTTTTTCTTTTGTAGTAATGGGGCCTGGGCTTACTTTGGCAACCTTTATATTGTGGCATCACACCGTGCAGCAGCGTATACGTAGCTTGGGATTTGGGACGGGTTTTAAATGTTTAGATAGTGCCACATGGTACATTGCGAGTCTCTCAATTTTCTTTTTGTACACATGGTAGTATGATTTACACATTTACACGTGAAACAATGGCTGACTATATGTACATGTACACGATGATTTTTTACGGGGTCGTTTCAAAACACTGATTTTAGGCTTAGAAAAAGAAGCGGAAACTCTCACCTAGTACAAAGTTGTGCGGATCGCTGAGGAAAGTCATTTCTTTTCCATCGCCCAATTCTGTTTTGTTCTCCCAAAGGTGAATATCAGAATGACAAATGCCAGCGAAACTGGTCTAGAATAAAACGATTGATTAAGTACTTAATTAATTAATTGATTAAAAGATTTAAGACGGGACATATAGAGGTACAGTTTGCAATGCGCTTGCCTTAATATATAATACTGGGCATTTGGTGTTTGATATTTTGGATATGTCAAGTTTGAAATACTGACAGAGCATCAATCACTCTTTCAGACTGCCGTGTCAGAGTTCTGACTTGCATGGCTGTCAGGTTGTTCTTGTCACTTCTGTTCTTGAAAAAAGACCTACATCAAGTCATGTGACCTTATTCCGAATGCCTTCTTCCACCAATCAAAGTATCGGAGTCGTTGGCGTCCTTCTGTTCTTTTAGTCTGCGAGGCAACCCGTAACAGCTTTTTTTTTAATCAAAATCAAGTCCACAAATACACGTCTGCCTGCCAAGAATGTACCACATAGAACTTTGCATAACTTGTACTAATAATAGTCAAAAGTTTAAAGGCTGAATCATGGCAAAACAATTCCGCTCAGAATATATGTTCCACATGTATAATTGTACAAAAAATTATTACGAGGTCATGCGTTAAGACCTCCAGAGACATAAAACAATTGGAATAAATGTGCTGACAACGTTTGAATGGAAGGACGTTTGCAAAAGCAATACAAATCTGTTTCGGCGGAGAATATCAAGCCAAAAAGTCGTTTTTTACCACCACTTAAAACACACAAATTTGTGATGACTAAACAACCCGTGGGGTAAATTTGTCATCGTTAAAACACCTAAAAAAATTACAGACCCGTGCTCATCAATTCGAAATTATGCAATGTTCCCACAGTAAAACAGCACAGTTTAAGCTGGGAATGCGTTTTATAATTTTCTTTCAATGGATCAAAAAGATTGATGAAAAGTTGGACATCAATCGGGAAGTATGATAAATTACAAAAAAATCCTTTATTCCTGCGCCATTAAGTACAGATCAGCTAGGTCTAATTAAGTAGGACTAATTAATCAGTAGGACTAATTAAGATACGAAGTTGTAATGTTTTAACAGTATGGCTGTAAGTATATAACCATTGCCGAAAGCTGTGATGAGGGGAGGGAGAGCGATTCCCCCCGCCCCATTTCCAGAGAATTTTGAACATTTATTGGAACGTTTCCAAAGCTTTTACGCTCTCTTTATCCCACTACACCAGAAGCCTCTTACTTATTGTAGGCCCCAACCTTTTTTCTCATCTTACACATGGCGCTGCAAAACTGTACATTTGTTAAAGAAACGAAATTGAAAAGCATGCATTAGTATTTAAAAACTTTCAAAGATTTTGGACATGACGTACCGGTGGTAAAGTAGGAACATACTCGTTCCTGGAAAAAGATTGGCAGTAAAAATTCATACCAGAATTCCTTTTCACTGTCCCTTTCAAAGCACGGTATTGGAGTTTTTGAAACAGTAAAAATCGTGGACCATGATGTCAGAGCTTTCAACCATTACTTTGCTTTTTATAAATTTATTGCTTACTTTGGAATTAACTAAAACACACTAACTTATTTTTTAAAAAAATTAAAGCGTATACCTTAATGACAAGTCCTTCTGGCGGTGGTTTGGGGATTGCCTGTTCCACAATTTTCAGCGGTTCCTTGGGCGCTGGAACTTGAGCCGAACGCATCACGGGAGCAGACATCTTGGTCTGGGGCGTCTGGTTCTGTGTTTAACTAACCTGGGAGAAACGCGACCTTCTTGTAGAGTTGCTTGCTAATATTTGAAAAAAAAAAAGAAATTGACCTTTGAACAGCGAGGACGTGGTGCTGTAGATTATAAATGTATCACGAATATAAATGGAGGTCGAGTAACGCAGTTCGGTACCTACTCGTGCCTTGTGTGTTATTCAACTGTGTTTTTTAAAATGTCGGCGCTCTCTCATTTTAACACTTGCAAATATAGTATTTAGTTGGCGATCAAATGGCAAAACTGCTAACCGCAATGAAATATACTTTGGCATCATGCAATACACACATATGAAAACGTCAAACTGTGGCAAATGGGCTGGTCTGTCTGGCTGTGAACGAACTGAATACTTTAAACCCATTGAATTTAGTGATAAAATCGATACAAATCAGTGCGATAAATATTCAATATAGAATTCAAAATAGACACATATCACGATTTCAGGAGTCTGTAGAAGATTCTAAAGCCATATCTTTTATCTGACTTTTTGTGTGTTATCCTATTTTTAAATGCCAAGAAATCAGGATTGTTCGTTTAACAGTGATGACAAATTTTAGAATAAAACAGGCATTCTGTATTACACTTTCGACGTCATCGAGTTATTTTATTTATTTATTTATTTATTTATTTATTTATTTATTTTGGTCCAGGCTGAAAGCTTGAGAGTTGGTAAGAACTTGGAAGAGATAACCAATGTGAAAAGGTGACTTTATTTGTTCCATTGCAGTCATGTAAAATATGACGTCAAGGTACCGCATCTTCCTACTGGTAGTTGTGTAAAGAAAGATGTGTTTAAGGCTGAAATTAAACAAAAAGAAAGGTTAATCACCATCTGGTTCTCTTCACCTTTAACCAGAACTGTTTTTTTTCCAGCACATCTGAGGTTAACTTGTTAATCATATGGACAGTGCTTGTCATTTTTTAAGTCTTTCATTTTTCTGAACGAACTTAACAAAGCTAATTAGTTAATTGCCTTGTTTTTTGTAAGTATTGAAAATACTAATAATTTTTTATTAGAATACGTCTTTCAATGTCGGTAGAAAATAACAACGAAGCATGTGACCAAAATGTGACTACTATGTTTTAAAAGGGATTGTTGAAAAGATACCATTACACAGTATTACAGAGTTTATAGTTCTATAGGTTTATGGATGTTCAGTTTTGAAAATCTCAAGAAGATGCACTGAAACATGTATTTCTTTCACCAAATTCAATAAGGCCTACTATGAAAATTTCAAGGGACAAATCAATTTACTGCTCTATCATAATGAAAATTTTGCATTTGATGTTTTAAGTCTGCATTCACAACTACAAAAGTCGGTGTGGCAGGAAAGTTAATAGTCCAGGAAAGAAGGTCTGGGGTTCCATACAGATTAACACAGGTTGAGGGTAACCGGAAGTATTGGAGGCAGTATATGGGACAAATGTCGCCTGTTCAAAGTGATGGGAAACGGACTTCGGTTTTTAGGAAACTGCCATTTCTGTCACACCGATTTAGAAATCAAGTAAAGAACAAGTCTCACTATTTCGCACTTTATTACAAGGGAGGGAAAGACATTAGTGATATATTTTGGACTGACTGTATAATAATGCATTTCTGCTTCCAGTATTCGTTAATGAACGGCAACCGTCGTTTTCTGATCTTAAACTGTTGTAAGGCCTGTCCTTGCATTTTAAATGAGAAATTGATAACCATACCCGTGTCACGGTGTGCGTTTAGGCCTCAACTATTCTACTGTTCACCATTATAGATATCCATGGTAACTTACATTATAATGTGCGTTTGTAACTAAATCTGAATCATTCAAGAAGCAAATAATCTACATGTAGAACAGTACAAATAATAATTTCCATGAAGTAAACGGCGCAATGATGATACAAGTAAAACATATGTTAGTCCTTTTTTTCTAAAAGCACTTCTTGAATCGTCCAATTTTATTCGTTATAAATGAGCCAGGGCCCAAAACAAAGAGGGATGGGGGGGGGGGGGGTAGGTTGGCTCCCTTCCCCTCTTCCAGAGATTTTTGAAAAATATTTTTGGTGTATCTTTATTACGTGGTAACCTTTTCTTTCTTCCAGTCTTTTATGTCTCTTGCTTTCCTTCTGGTGCACACGTGCAGTACAAATATACCAATATCATGAAGGCTTTCGGCAACTGATTCCAAACGTTTTTTCTCCTCCTACGGCCCCGTACAATATACGTACATATTTCCACGTTAACTCGTTAAAAATGAACAACCGTTTTATATTCTCCTGTTTAACTAGTTATGAATATACAGTTCTACTTCTGATTATATTCTACTGCTACAATCGTGCGGCCTTGTTTCTAGAGTTTCAGAATGGCGCGGCCCTTTATTTGTCCTTTCTTCAAAAGCCCAAGGACTTCTGTCGCCTGATCCAGCTCGTAGAACACAAGTGGAGGAGGTTTCAGCTGGAACAGAACCAAAAAAAAAAAAAAAAATTAATTGCGCAACTGTGAATGGGATTTTGGTATTTATTGACATTGAACTGTAATAAATAAATAAATAACATCTAACCATAGAAACACCCCGTTAAAATGCAGACGCCAAGTAACATGCTTAAATGTTTGGATCAGAAGCATTGTTTTCAGGAACGTTTGGTATGGTTACACATGGAATGAGCACATCCACTGATTTTTCAGAAATACATTGATCTATGTTTGGAGAGTTTACCCCGCTGCACATATTTTCAGTCAACTTGTAAATATACAAATTGTATTTTAACGTTCCCATTACCTTCCCAACCGTACACGTTCAACCGACATAAATAGGCTGAATAATCCCTTTCTTTTTATCAGTTTAAAAGGAATCCAGTGGAATAAAATGTATGAAAAACAATCAGATTTCTTTGCTTTCAACTGAACGAAACAAGCAGTTTTCTATCAGTCAAATTAGAAAAAAAAAAACGTTGTATGTAAAGGTAAACGACATTCTATCCAATGACCACGGTATTTCTAACACCAGGTGTCAGGGCGGTAACAGGAATTGCAGTCTCGTGCAAGTCTCGTACCTTTCTCTGATCAACCAGTGCCACGAGGTCTTTAAGTTGTTGCGGGTTTCCCACGTACACCCCTCTAACACACTGCGTCTTCAAGGCAAAGACGGGGAGAGGGATGTTCAGACAGCCACCAAACAGGCCAACACTGCCAAGGATACCACCCTGTAAATAGAAAAAGTGTGTAGCAGGTGTAATTTGTATGTAGATCCTGTTTTAAAGAGACTTAACGTGAATTAAATTTTCCATAAAACGTCGGGTCGACCCTCTTTAAAGGATTATGTACGAGTCAGCCTTTAAATCAAGGCCATTTGACGAAGGTTCAAAACATTATATGACTCATAGGTGAAAAAAGTATTTTAGTTACTTTTTTACCGTCTTAATACAAGAGACTGAAAAATATATTTCACAGTATGAACCAATTGTTTTGAATGACAAGGGAGAGTGTTCTGTAAGAGATGAGCTAGTGACTAATCAGGCATATGCCGCTAGAAGCAGAAAAAATCCAGAATTTATTACATGTGAGTGAGAACATCTGTAAAGAGATCAGGGTATATTTGGTAGTTCATCAAATAGAGCTACAGATATTTGGTCAGCAACCAAAGTTAGAAATTACTGCTTAATATGCCTTGTTGATCGTACATGCAGTAGAACATATTTGTTTCCAAAACAAACCAGGTAAGTTGTAAAAAAAACCCTTTAAATCATAATTATTATCGTCATAACATGGAAAGCAATTTGAGATATTAAGTATACTTAAAAAGACCACCGTCCCACTAGCAGTCTGTTACAAAATCACTGTCTCGGATAGGTATACATTAATTTTGTATGCTATTTTAGAGTCCCCTGATGTCAGAGGGTATCCAGTGGCGATCACGATTCCATTTCACTTAAAAGACATGCTGTGTTTCTTTTTGATTTTCACTTACGTGGTGGAGAGCGTTCAGTGCCCTGGTCGTAGTAGGGCCGGCGTTGACCAGGTCAATAGCAGCGTCCAGACCACCCCCTCCTGCTTTCTTAGTAAGGGCCAGCATGTCTTCTTCCGTGCCTGGTTATTGAATTTAATATCATGCTTATTACCATATTTATTTATTTGTCTGTCCGTCCATCCTCAACATTGCCTCTATACGCATTATTTGTTCATTTTGATAACTTCATTTTTACATTTATGCATTTATTTATTCATTTGTTTGTTTTTTTGTTGACTTGTTCACTCATATATCTTTGAGAAAAATTGTCGTTCTTGAAGTACCTTTAACGTCCCATAGGATCACATCATCGGCACCAGCTGCCTTGGCGGTTTCCAACTTCTCCGTCTAAATATCAATAAATAAATATAAGTATGATTAAATTTAATAATTAATAATTAAATTTGATGTATAACCCACCCTACAAACTATAAAATGCAGTTTGCAGAATTCTGACGTTATAGAAAACAGCTCTAATCTAGAATTACTCACTCAATGAATATCAGAAAGAATTGCATCTGAATAGTTATGGTGAACATTGTTTTATCAAATTCTTTCTCTCATTTATGGCGCTGATAAACCACCATGATATTCAGCACTTAGCATAGGACAAATAAGCACCAAAATAGTTTTTAAAAGATGTTTATAAAATAAGCTTTTTGCATCAAATTTAAGGAAACAACGTGCACTCGCATACTGCACATGCGACTTACGCCGATGTCCCACCAGCCATCGTACCTCCGTGTTGCTTTGTTAAAAATAAAATATTGTTACAGGTATGTGTTCTTATTTGAGCAACAGTGTAAGCAAAAAGATATGTGCGCACGTACATTGTATATCGGGTGGCTAAAAAGGTTACTTATTTCAGTTTAATAGCTTCAACAGTTCACAAGTTGCTTTTGACGGTGTGCCAAAACTAAAAAAGGCAGTGTCATTAGATTTCCAGCATTTACTAAATACATTATTTTCTTAAAACATTCAAAATTTCATTGCAATATCTTTAAAGCTGTTAAAGTTATTGAACTTTGAAATTAGTAACGTATTTTAGCCACAGGAAATAACGAAGCCGCCATTGTAACTCACCGTAATGTCGGCGACGATCACTCTGGTTTGCGGAGGCAGGACAGCCTTGGCAATCTGAATACACCACAGACCAAGACCTCCAGCCCCGATGATAAGCAGACTGGCACTGCCTGTAGATGATGAAGGGATAGAGTTATGACATTTTGTTTTAAAACTTGATGTGATGCTAAATCTTAATCAAAATAGATACGAGTTACATAAAATAGCACTAACTGAACTGCCATATCGCTACTCTTAAAAAAAATAGTTCATTTTAGAAGTATTGTAATCTACAGTTGAGTTAAGAACACCCCCGCCCCCTCCAAAAATAGCGAATGTGACATTTAAAGGCCTTTGCACACCCAGTGCTGCAGAGATTACTGGAATTTAGCCATACCAACCCCATACATGTAGGTCTTCCTCTGCTATTTCCAGTACTGGAAACGGTTACAGTCATGGCAATGGTGGAGGCTATAATCTCTGAAACTCAGCGTGTCGATGTACGAAGATGAACGTATATGACGTCATATTAACTCATATGACGTCACTTACCTTTAAGTGCCACCATCTTCTCCACGGTGGCTCTGACAGCGCTCACGGCGTGGAAGGTGGTCAGACCGCTACATGGCAACATGGTGGCGGTGTCCATTGGCATTGACTCGGGCACCTTGATCACGTACTGGCGCTCTGGCACGGGGACGTACGTGGAATAGCTGAATAAAACGAATTATTTATTTTACTGCTACTACTACTTCTAACAAACACTTATGATGATAATGATAATAAAAATGATGATTATAACGATGAAAATAATAATAATAATAATAATAATAATAATAATAATAATAATAATACAATGATGATTAACTTGCTTTCAATGTACCATGTCAACATTGTTGGTCGTTCATGCTACCAGAGTGTCCCTGGTTGCCCAAATCACATCTTTTATCTCGTTTGTTCAATGTGCCCCATTCTTAGAACATTGCAAGTACCCTCTCCCAACCCAACCCTAAAGTCCAATCACCATACCTAGCTCGATCCCTATTTCTGTCGGCCATAATGGCTTTGTCGACCATATTGGGACTTTCAGGCATGCCAGAATATATCCAGAAAATATCCGGAATTTAATTTTCTATAACTGTGCCGAATTTTTTACTTGTAGGTAAAAGTGCAGCATTCACCCCCTCCCCCAACTCAATTTTTTAACCAAATTGCTGGATTTATTCTCGTGTACTTACCCACCAGGTGCCCCCATACCCAGTGAATTCCATGCCTCTGGGCAGAGCTGGGGGTCTCCGTTCTTGCACAGGCCGCAATTACGACATCCAATCCACGGGAAGACGATTACCTTGTCCCCAACCTTAATGTCCGGAGCGTCTAAAATACAAAGATATACAAGTCAAGATAACATTCTTAAAGTTTGTATGTAGTAAATTCATGATAACGGAAAAGGTTTTCGGCGAACGAGACGTGAGTGAATTCATTTTCAGAAATTCTTGAATTTGCCACTGTGACTGTTTTTTTTTTTTTTTTTTTTTTAATAGTTTCGGTACTTCAATGGAATTGCGATGCGAACAACATGAAAAGATAAGACCAACAATCGATATTTACTCAATATTATTTTTAAGAAATTAAGAATATGTATATGAATATTTATATATGAGATTTCACATACTTGGTCCTGGGTTTGGTCCAAGGGAATGGACCACTCCAGAGATTTCATGACCTGAAAATGGGGGAAATAATGTAGAACTTTTACATATCAGACTTCAATTACTCTCAAATAATATTCATCAACTGTCAAGTAAATAAGATACAGATGTAGCTTACGCCTTATTTAATGACACAACATTAGCAATAATACAGTGAAACATTTTAAAGAGAGAAAAGGCGTATGATGCTTTAACAAGTAACTGTTTGTGCAATCGATCTTATTTTCAGCAGGCGTGTTGAAGTTTTAGCAAGCGGAGCACATACACGTCCAAACATCTTTCTTCGCGTCTCACACGTGTCATTTGAACAGTACACACTTGTAAAAAACTGGAGGGGAACACACAACCCACTTTCACTAAAAAATGGAAAATGCCCATTTGATCTTTGTGATGCAAAAACCGTTAAGTTTACAGGTTCGCACAAACAACCGGAACATTATAAATCGTTTGAACTTAAGATTGCCCCTGCAAGGTCCCCATGGTGTTTGGTAAACACTAGTAACCGAATTCTTAATTTCTAGGTTAAAGTTTGTCGTGTTTTCATATCGTCAAAGATAATCGAATAAGAAAACTTAGGTCCAGGATTTCACTGGGGCGAGACTGAAAACAACGCTGTAGTGACTCATAGGCCTACATTTTTTATGATTTAAAAATCATGGTTTCAACCGTGCACGTACATGCGCATGTGTGGCGATTCCCGCACAGTATTTAAGCGTTGGTAGAGTTGAGAGAGTGAGAGAGAGAATATGAGAACAGAGCACTGTATTTAAAAATGGAAATACAGGCATGCCCATGCTGTCACTCTGAAGAAAACCTGATGACGACTCCTCATTCTCTCTAAGCATGGGTTTCCATAAAGCAGGATCGATCCAACTCCGAGGGGGTTCTCGCTAAATTGCATTCAGTTTAAGCGGCTTTTAAAATGTCTGTCACGCCCACTAAAGCTGCTAGGGGGCAATTAAATTTCGTGCACGCTTAAACTAAATGCAATTTAGCAAGTAACTCCTCAGAGATAGATCAATCCTGCTAGGACGATAGAGTAAGGGAATGGTTCCTAAATGCAGGTTTGACAAAAGACGGAACAACGCTGGTCGTCGTAGGTCAGTATGTTTTGAAAGATAATCGTAAGAAATTGCACGTGATTTCGGTGGAGGCGTCTCTCGCGTCAACTTTTGTTACTTTGTCCAGTAGATAGAATGTAGACTTAAACACCCCTCGTTCTGATACGCTGCACAGAATCAGCCGAAGTCTTTATTTTATTTTGCTGGTATACATAGGCATAGATTAAATTAGCCACTATTAATTAATGTGGGAAACGAACGACTACCTTTGCCCTCCCATGACATTTGAGACAGCTGTACCAAAAATAAAATATTCTTTATTCACAAACTAAAAAGCTTATTGTATTGCCAGTTGAAATTAAAAATTTTAATGGATATTGCCGATTAGAATTGCGCCGTAATCTAACTTAGGTCTTATCGATTCAAATGTGGGTCGCCAAAGAGCACCTTCAACTACTAGCAGGCCCTCAACAAGTCAAGTATTCCTGCGTGATATCACTATCAACACTATCTCTATGTTTATAAAGTGAGAGAGTTAATCTCTTCAGTTTTTGAATGCTGTTTTTGCGGGTCCGTAGCTGCTGAGAGGGGGGAGGGGGGGGGACAGAAGTTCGACCGAACCTGCTTTTTGTGGGAAAAGGTCCGCTCTGGGTTAATTTTTGAGCTTCACAAAGTTTCGTCGTAAAAGGTCTATTTTTTCAGGAAAAGAATCGCCCTATGAAAATGCTGGCTACGGGCCTGGTGTGTGGTAAATAATAAACAAGTCACAGTTTTCAAATCCCTCTGTCTGGGTAGAGAGCGTATTGTCGCAGTGCGCAGTATCAGGTCGTAAATATTATGTGTTTCCCGGGTGGCAAACTAAAATGATTGACTTCTCCCGGGGAGTTTGGCCTTTCATCAAGACCCCCGACTTTTGAAATCAATAGAAAATTGTAGTACGGATTTTTCCTGTCTTAATTTTTAATTGGTAATGACGAAGTCTTAGAAATTACTGGCAGTCGCATGCAGAAATAAACACTTCGTTGAAATACATTTAAAACAATTTTCAATTGTCTTTTGCCTTCCTGTTTATAGGATGGGACTAGTAGGTTCTGATATAAAATAAACGCTGCAAAGTAATGGTTTCATACTTTATAAACTAAATCTAGAGCCAAACGCCTATTTTCTTGTCAGAATAAAATCAACCGATCTCTTGCAGCAAATATGAAAACAAACTTTTTTCGCAAGTAATAACGTTTTGATTATATATTTGTCACATTTTTAGGGCAACAACTTTTTATTTCATTGCTAGTCTCTGATTATATTCCCGCTTGTAGTCGCTCAAAACTTTCGGGCCGTTTAAAAGAATTGGAACCTCAGTTCGTCTCGCCAAAACGTGTGTTTGACGTTTACAAAAAAAAAAAAAAAAAAAAAAAATCTGGACAATAAACAAAAAAGATCGAACAATTTTTATAGCAGACGATCACGAGAACTCATAATGAAGTTCTCCCCGCTTAGACTGTACTTTGAATTCCCCAAGTATCCAGAGTTGGGCGTTTACGACTTATTCTACAGATTGTGTAAAATTGCAAGCTGAACTTTGCTGTTCATGCCAAAACACTACCCTTCGACTCCAATGCAGTTAACTTTCCTTTGCTGTCATCTTTTGAATGTACCTATAATATAAATGTGATACAGCACCGATGGTTTTTAAGGCAACAGTTTAGTGCTAATAGCATTGGTACAGTATATCTCATTCACTATAACTGTGCCTCCGTGATATGCATTCCAGTAAGGTTTCAAGTCTACATCCTAAACTACATATGCATATCGATGTAGCCTTTTGAAACCCGGGGTACCCGAGAAGGAGAAATCTTTGGAAAGTTTGTCTGGGCGCAATCAGCGACCTTCTGCCCCAGTTTTTTCCAGAGCAAATTGCAGAAAAGTTATCTGAGGTTAACTCACTCCAATGAACCTAGCGGCCTGACATTTCACTTGATACAGCAAGCAGCCTGAGAAGTAAAGTACAATTTCAGAGGACCAAGTCAAACCGTCTTTTTTTTAAACGCTGTATTGGCTTTTTTAAAATCTGGTACATGTATGCGAAAAAGATAAAAACATTTTGCATTTCTTATAGTAGCAGTTATAACGAATGGTTCAAAACGGTCTAGTAATGTTTGTGTTGTCATTTACATAGCATCAAAACTGGTGAAATATACCATTATATTTTAGATAAATGATTTTTGGTGTTTGGTAAAGCATAATATCATGCAGTTTTCACTATTAGAGAGAGAGAGAGAGAGAGAGAGAGAGAGAGAGAGAACGCCTGCCATACGTTCTTTCTAGGAGATAACAAATAGCCAAAACATGTTACCAAAAGGTACATGTAGCTGCCAGTATGCACGGTTCAAACGGTTGAAAAGCGATCGAAGTGAAGGTGCAAAAAGAGCAAGAAGATCTTTTTTCTTCAACAAATCTTTATACTCTCTAAAGGTGCTTTCCCAGAGATTTAGATCGATCTAGAGATTAAGATTTAGATCGACCTAACTCCCTGGGGGTTCACGCTAAATTGCAGTCAGCCGAGCGGGCACCATAGTTAATTACCCCCTTACAGCTTTTAGTAGGCGGGACAGACGCTTAAGCCGGCCAAGCTGACAGTAATCTAGTGAGACTCCCCGGGGGGATAGATAGATATAAAATCTATGGGAATGCCCCCTAGACAAAATCTCTTACCCATGGACATAGGGACCATTCCCAGATCCTATCATACCAACTGTGGATCAATCTACTCCCCACAGGGATAGATCGATCTAAAAATCTATGGAAATGGGGTGTAAGCGGGAGGAAGGGTCATCCGAATATTGTGTTACTATTAGTACATGTAAGTATATATCCACTTCAAAAGTTGACGCATGTGTTTGTGCGCGCTAGCAAGAGAGAGAGAGAGAGAGAGAGAGAGAGAGAGAGAGAGAGGAGGGGTTATTACCTGGTACGATGGGGAAGTTGTAGTTTGGGTTGTCGCTGAAGTGAGTGACCTTCCCGTTACCCAGCCCCATCTCATCATCCCACAGGTGGACGTCAGTGTGACACACGCCAGCATACGTAGTCTGGAGGAGAGAAAAGACATCTTAAGGCTTTTCTACAGACTGCGACCAGTGCACAGTTTCAAAAATAACTTTCGACATAGTCATTGAGAATAAGAAGCCTTAGCGACTACTTAGTTTTTTTTAACCAAACGAGCAACGAGTATTTTAAGCAAAAAAAAAATAATAATAATAATAAAATTAAATTAATTTCAAAAGAATTAAAAAATAAAAACGGGGCAAAGTGCTTATTTTGCATTACAATGACATTATCAATGTCAATTTTGCAAAGCCATCGTGCTACACGTAACACACGGCAAATACACGTAGTAGGCCTATTGGAAAAGTACCTTTTGGAACACGCAAATCATATTCCAACTGCATTTAGTACAAGCATAAAATACTAAATTTCAAAATCATACGCAGAAATCGCAGAAATAACTATAAAAAAAAAAAAAACGCGAAGCTAAAGTGGTGTCAAACACGCGTTTGGAGACAAGAGCTTCAAGTGATAGACTGACGTTGTTGCATCGAAAACGTGATCTAATTAGGAACCGAGCCAAGGGGTGTCCTGACCCCCCCCCCTTTCGATATCTGGTCCTCTCTTGTAATTAGAATTTTGACTAGCTGAATCATAGTTCTAATCGTACCAAATGGCACCGTTCGCCCTCTAAAATATCAAAATTTTTCGGGGCTCTTCAGCGGGCCCTGAACCCCACGCCAAGCGGTGGTGGTGGGGTCCGCTTCGCATTCGCGGACCCCCCTCTCCTTCAAATAATCCTGGATCCACCCCTTTACCGGGTCTTTATATAGTTGTATTGCTTATTTTAAAAAAACTTATTACAATATGCAGGGCTAAAGCTGGTATACCTAACTAGAATATCAAGTATATCAAGTCTTACATTGACCTGTACTCTACTTTTTTGCCAACCAACAAAAAGAAAGCTCAAATTACCAAAAACCGGAATAGCGTCATTTGAAGCGTTGATAGAAAACCCTCTAACCTGATAACTTTGCAACTATATGAAAATGTTTTGTTTTCTATCTACTCATTTCACTACCAATATATCAAATGTAGCGAGGCTTATGTATGTCTGTAGATATTATATATATATTTAAAATGGTAGCGCACATATGAATGCGAAGCCATGTAGTATGCGATTTCGTATGTTCACTTACAATTTAGTATCTTTACAATGACTAACATATGCTTACTATATCATATGCCTTGTGAAGCTAGATGCTTCTTTGCATATTTATAGATGCGCTTCATATCCGATATGTGTGGTAATGGATATGAACCGAAGCCACACAATGTATGCTTACTCGATCATTGTAATGATTACATGCATCATTTTTTGTAGTCAAATCTGACAGTTTGCTATACAAATATATATGCACTCACATTTCTAATGTATCGTATATTTACTGTACTGATATCTGCTTGGTAGAGATAAAACTGAAATAGTCTGCTTTGGGTGCTTTGAACGAACACTTACTTGGTATAAACAATGTAATTATTTCTGCTATAAATATTTTGTACTAAATAATCTGCCTTTACACACGTTAAATCTATATACTTCTGCAATCTACTTATGTTAATAACCATATTAACAAAGTATTATGTTCATTATCCCTGTTGGCTTTTACATACTTCTTATAGCAGAGTTCTTGACAGTTATAAATTGCAAAAGGCATATAACGAGGTTTGTTAGCTACGAGCACAAGTGTGTGTGTGTGTGTGTGAATTCTTGGAAGGATATAAATATGTGCATGTAAACGCACTTGAACGTATTATATATTTGTACAAGAAAGCTTGAGCGCGTGTAAGTAGGCAAATGCATATATAGATTTGGTATGTATGTATATATATTCTTTCCTTATACTGTTTTTGCTGGAATGACAGAAAACTTTAAAAATAATTCTGTTAAACTATACGCGAATTTTTGTTCTATAAGAACAGGCGAACTTATTGTTGTTTTATTTGCAAAAATAAAGATAAAAAATATTTTGATTGACAAATGTCTTTTCAATATATTTGCACAACTTTCACACATCTCTCAGCGTTGAGAATTGAAGTTTCCAAGGTCAACAAAGTAAGGCATTAGGGCACATCATTCGTCGCAATATTTGTTTAGCGGCTCTAAATTAGGTGAGGCAGATAAGCCTCTTGAAAAAACGAAGGGAAAAAAGAAAAACTTTGACATCAGATGCTGAGATATCCCAGTGTCGCTTGGAATGTTGAATGTCAAATGGGGAAAAAAACTAGTCGTTACCTGCACAGCAAAAACTAAAAGATAAACTGAAAAGAGGGCCTCAAAATAGAATGTGCGGAAATTTTTTAAAGACCAAAGACGCCCATGTCCCCACTCACCTTCACGACCAGCCCCTCCGAAGGGGGCTCAGGGACGGGCAAGTCCACCAAGCCCAAGGGTTGTGATGGCACCTGTATCTCTGCACGACGCATGGTGATGACTTAATTCTGCAGCGCAAGTAATCCTACGAAATCAAACTTCAGCTCAGGGCACGCTGCGTCTCCAATGAAAGTCTCCTGGCAGATGACGCGGGCCTTGGGCAGACGGGTAACTTTTGCTCTTAGCAGGTCAGAGCAGCAATCGGGGCATCAGAGGGGGCCTTACATGGGGAAACTGAAACAGGACTTGGTAAAATAACGTTAAGCTTGACCTAAGTAATTATCATTGTATTACTCAGCAAACGAGGTACAGTTTCACTAGATTGGGGAAAAAAAAACGTAACTGAACCCAATGCAAAACGTTTAGTTCTTCTGACACAGTTTTTTTAAAGACTGGATGAAAAAATGAAGTTTCCCTGTCTTTATCGATTAAATTAATTGTTTCCACAAACACAGATTAGTTTATCAGTTTGTTTATTTAGTAGTGATCGGAGCAGGTCAGCCCAGGTAAGCACAACTGACACTTTGCGTGGTCCCCGCGGTAGCTGTGGTATTAATTCGGCTTCGACGTAGTACTGAACATTATGTATTAAAAATGACTGTTGCCTTATAATTATGTCGTAAGTTGGTGAACAGAATACTTTAATGAGAAAACTAGATATAGACGATGCAAATAAAACGAAAAGGAGAAAATAAAACTCAGGTTTAAACGAGAAATATTAACGCGATTGATACAGCATCTATGCAGTTTCGATCATGCAGTTGCATACAATTCATCTCTTTCCTAGTTTTTTGTTTGCACTATAGCAAATGAGATTGGAATATATGACACGTTGACAGTGAAGACCTTGAAACCCTCATCTATAGTGTATGAGACTTCGCAGGTTATTTAAACCTAACCTATCTGTTTCCTGATCACCCAGAGCCAAACGGATATTTTTACCGGTGGGACGCGCGATTGCAATTACTCCACCCTTTTACTTGTAGTCTATTGGCTCGGTATCTCGCCGTTTCTTTAATACCAAATATTTTGTCGAATATTTCCCAGAAACTCGGACCTGTTGTGTCCAAGCTACCGGTAGTAATATTTGGCACAATATCAGAACCTAAAAACGCAGGATCAGGGTGTGCACTAGCTGCTATAAGTACATATATAAATTAACTTAGAAAAACATTGTCAATCTACCGTATATACATTTTGTTCAAAAATGAATTCGTGATTTGTTAACAAGGCGTTGCACAAACAACAAAAGTAAACATTGTCATATATTTTATTCAAGCAAAATATCTGCTGAAAATGATAATACAAATGTGAACAACTGTATGTGTCAGATACAGTAATATCAACCTAAAATGGCCCCATCATTCAATATACTGTGTAAATGTATACAATTACACAAAAATATAAGAAAAAATTTTAATGTGTTTATTGAACACACACAAAAAATAACAATAAAGCAATAGCTAAAAATAAAAACTGTAAGTTTAATAATTATTGTACAAAATAAGGCAAAAAAAACTTCAAAAACACACTTTTGCTGAGCAACGTCAATGTGCTAACTAATAAAAGTACTGTAAAATTTTGCTTTAAGTAATTTTTTTTGTTTTATGTTGATTAATTTACCCCTTTAACAGATGTTTATGGAATTTATTCAATGTTAACCCTGGATGTAGAACGGGGGAAATAATTGATATTGTCACCAAAAATAATGGTTAAGTATACAAGCTTATAACATGTTTGTTTAGTCATTTAAAAAATCATGTAATTAAAACTTGAAATTACACATATTTCAAAATTCTTTGTTTTTATCTTGCACTTTTGTCCAAACAAAGCCAGAAAGCATGATCCAAGGGTATACATAAGACACAATACTGAAATTGTCACTTTTGTGCAAAAAATAATTTTAAAAATTATCATAAAGTAATACAGAATAAAAAAAGATCTATATAGACCTACCAGTTGGGTCCCTCACAACCTAAATCACTGATAAAAAAATATTCCATTCTAAAAAAAACTAAGCAGAACTTTAGACTCCTGTTAAACCATCTGCATACTGAAAAGTTATGCAAGTCACATAGTGAAATTTAAGGCAAGTTTTAAAGGGTTCCTAAATGCAGCGTTGGTCGTCTGCCATGAGCTTAACTGTAATTTTACTCACACTTGCCACAACAAACTTTCCAGTGTTATTCTTAACTCAAGTAGTCTGTATGTATGAAAGGGTGAACTTCCAATATGTTGACTTTTTTCTTTTACCAATATAGGAAAACACTGGTATATACAAAATGTATGACCACCTGACAAAATATTGCAAGGTATAAATTTATACCAATACAGTTTAGTTTTGGTAAAAGAAAATTCTATTAAATGTCATGCTCACAACTAGGAGTATATGTTGTTAATGAATTCTGTTTATTGAAAAAAAGATAGCTGCCCCCAACTTAACACACACACACACACATGCACACACACATACACATACACGTGCGCGTGCACACACACACAAAACACACAGCAATATGTACTAAACCATAGGTTCTAAACCATATATGTATACACCAATACATTGAGATCATCACATATTTCTAAAACTTGGACGGAATATTCTATTTTATCATGCAATTCAAAAAATACATAAATGTCATGTAATTTCAGCAGTTACCATCACTGCTATCATAATTATTTAACAGTGTAAGTCACTGCAAAACACAATAGGTGAAATACATGAAGCAGAAACAGTTGGATTACTGAAAAGAAATCAAACCATACACAAAGGCAGTGTATATTACAGCATGGCTTTAGCATCCCCGGTGATCCAAATTGGCAACCTAATGTGCAATTAAAAGGAGGAATTACCCAAATGGAATGCAAAAAATCTCAAGAGGACTATAACAAGTGAACCATCAATACATTCAAGCAACCAACTGAATTATAAAAACACAGCAGTGGATAATAATCAAATCAGAAAACACCGCTCTTGTAAAATTGTATCTTTAAAAAATCTAATCAACTTGGTTCAGAAACTATGCAGTTTTCAAAAAATTCTGTCTTCTGATTTTTTGAAATCATATCACTTTATAACATGATAATAACACAAACACCAACTTCATTTGTGCGACTTTCTTTTCTTTGCAGGTGGACCATTGGTGACCTTGACACTGGTAGGGGAGCACACTGGGGTGTCTGGGATCTGAAGCTCCACATATTTATCCATAAAAGGTTTCACAGTGCGCCAAATCTGGAAAAAAAAAATTATACATAAATAAATAAATAAATATGTAATGTGACTGTTTCCTATAAAAGTGCACACATGGTGTTTTTGCACTTATATATACAGTATATACTATATATTGTGTCAAATGTTTCATGTTGCGCAAGAATTTCAACTTTAAGAGCAAAAAGATCAATTTAGAGACAGGCAGAGTGGAACAAACATGGTTTAAAAGGTGTCTTAATGTCAGGAATTTTACCTTTTAAGATATATTGGTTTTAATGATCAAATGTGACGTGAGAAAAGAAAAAAAACAGACTTTGGAATTAACTGCTGATTGCATCCACTGAAGTAATGTGATTAAAACATTGGTGATAGTGGCCAGACTGTTTGTTGGCTCCAGGTTGGTTGATTTATTGGCTTGATGTAAGACCTAGACCCCATTTCCAGAGATTAGATCGATCTACTTTAGATCGACCTAACTCCCTGGGGGTTCACGCTAAATAGCTGTCAGCCGAGCAGGCAATAAAGTTAATTACTCCTTTACAGCTTGTAGTAGGAGGGACGGACATTTAAGCCGGATTATCTGACAGTAATCTAGTGAGACTCCCCGGGGGGATAGATAGATATAAAATCTATGGGAATGCCCCCTAGACAAAATCTCTTACCCATGGACATAGGGACCATTCCCAGATCCTATCATACCAACTGTGGATCAATCTATCTCCAAGGGGATTCTCACAAATTGCAATCAACTTAAGCAGCTTAGATGTCTGTCACGCCTACTGAAGCTGCTATAGGGGGTAATTATTTATTGTTTAGCAGCTTCAGTAGGTGTGCCAGACATCTAAGCCAATTAAGCTGAAAGCAATTTAGTGAGAAACCCCTTGGAGAGGGATTGATCCTGTTAGATTGATCTAGGAATCATTGGGAACCCAGTCATAGTCCAAAATAGTGATAAGCGGGCTATAGTTGTATGTCACAATCTGCGGCAATGACTCAATCTTTTCAATGGGCGAAATTATCAAATACTTAATTTTATAATCACAAAAATTAAATTTTAAGAAATTATAACTTAAAAATACAGTAATTGCAAAATTCTCAATTTTGACCCTTAAAAAAGATTGAGTAATTACCCTATGTGTTACAGGATATTTATGTCGCAATCCTCCAGCTGTCACAGCCCTACTTCAGACATTAGTCAACAGAATTTATCTCCTTTCATACTGCCTCAGTAAAGTGGGTAAATACCATCAAGTACAAGTCCAAATAGCTGTATTTTTTTAGTATCATTAACAAATTTCCTGGGTCTAACTGTATTTTCTAAGATTAATTAATTGCCCTCCTTTCTTGACTTGCCATAACTGTGGGAAATTTTTCAAGTCCTTAACTGTGGCTATATGTGGCTTTTTCAACTTCTACCATCGCTTTGAGCACTGTTTTCTAGGTTTTCTAGGTTGTGTGGGATTCAAAATTGAGTCAGGATGGTTGACAGGTGGTGAGTTTCATTAGGAGGTGCAAAACCAAGCTATTTTGGTGACATTTAATTCATGGCATTCATATGTTAAAAATTACCGAAAAATATCCTCGTCTTCAAAAAAGTTCAACCGGATGTGCTAATCTCACACTTTGTCCCCTTAAGATAACCCTTTTTATCAAATTTTCAAGATAATTTTTACTAGATAGAATAAAGGCCCATTCAAAACTACTGAAGCCACTCACTAAAACAGGGAGGTTTAACTGCACAGATGTCTTCGTGATTATGTGTGCACCCCCATAGCAAGCCCTCAAATTCTTTTCACTAAGATACCCCCACAGTGACTGCTCACCCACCTCTTTCAAGAAAAAAGTAAAAACAAAGTAAAATAAATTTAACTTATCAATAAATATCCATTTAAAAGATCTTCTTTAGCAACTCAGAAAATTCTAGCTCAACTATTCAAATATTTTTCCAATATTTGCCATTTTTAGATACATAATTCATGATTCAGAAGTTATACCCCCACTGAGATAAGATCTCTCACCTGTTCCGAACGGAGCAGCTTGGTGACAGCTTCTATGTCTGGTGCCATGAATCTGTCCTTGTCCCAGGACCTAGAGAACAGAGGTCATAGATTTTATTAGTCTATGTCATTGATATCTATATGTGTGATTGACGAGTGATAAGTCATGTTTGAATTTTGGGGGCTGATGCTCTTTTTTTTTTTTTTTTTTTTGTGTGTGTGTTGTGTGTGTGGTGGGGGGGGGGGTTGGCGACCACAAGGATTAAAAAACAGTTTTAGACAGTACAGCGATGAAAAATTGCTGTTTTTTGCTAGCTATACTGTTCTTTTATTTTGTTTCATTTATTTATTTTATGGGGGAGGGGGGCTATAGTGAAAAGGGAACCTTACATGTACATTCCCCCACTATACCAGTATTGCATAATTTTAACTTATTAAGTTATTGTTACATTGGCAATTGAACTGATATAACTAATAATATATTCATATCATATGGAGTAAACTTTTTCAACCTGTTGCAGTATACAGTTTATACCAGTAACTTTAAAAAATCAGTTACTTTAATTCATAATATAACTGCCAATCCATTTAACTAAGGGGTCACATTTTTTACTGTCAAACTGGGCAAGGAAAACATACACACCCTAAAAAGAACAGAAAGTAAATCTGCAGTCATTTTCATGATGGTACAAGTAAATCTCAAAGACTGAAGAAGCAAATCATTAAAAAAGAAAAAAAATCAAATGCATCTTGACTATCTGGTTGAGCAGCAAATCATCCTAACAAGTTGAAAGAACAACTATTCTAAAAAAAGTTTAAAAACATTTAATGACCTCTACAAGTTACAGGAAAAAAACATGCACTGACATCAATCACACATGTATTTGCTAGTGATAAATAACACATTAATTCAGCTAAATACCAACATCCTTTACAGAGTATACAATAACCAGTGTTAAATTAGGATGTTTTCCAGTGAAAGATCACTGTGACCTTTTCTGGCATTATCAGGCTAATCTAGTGTTAATAATTATGGGATGCGATGGAAGGAGAGTGAGAAAGGGGAATTCTTACCTACACCTGTATTGGATAAACATTTTCTTGGATCAATGCATCATGGTTTTAATTCATCAAATGGCCAAAAGATGTTCAGTAAAAGCAAGAAAGTTGGCCATATTAGATCTCTGCTAGACCTAGGATATCTATAGGGAAAGGTTAGGGGTCACATATGCCACAAAAGCCCTTTCAAGCATGTATAATTGGTACTTTTCTAGTCTATTCAAAAATCAAATCACCCAGTTCAATTATAAAAGCTTCTTATGAAAAAAAATAACATATTCTATAAGACAAAGATGACCATCTGCCCCAGCAGTAACTATATATATCATCAATGCATTTAACTTCAAATTAATACTTTCTTCACTGTTGTGAAAATGCAATGATCAATTGATAAAATTCAATTTGGAATTAACACTCACTTGACCACAGTTCTGACCAGTTTGTGGACCTCTTCCAGAGGAGCTGTAGTCTTCAGGGGTCTCAGGAACTCTATAGCTTGGCAGGCTGACAGGAGTTCTATGGCCAATACTGTTGAAAATGGATACAGATTTGCTTCATGAAATACAGATTTCGATACAGATGTGCTTCATAAAAATTAGTATCATCAACACTGATTAAACACACAACTGCTTCATTTCTGAAACTTTTCCATTGCATCAGATGTGCCAAAGTTACTGCACATCCCAACACACTGAACCTCTGCTCTACTATAATCAAGGAGTTATAACTGTTATAACTCCTTGCTATAATCACCATGTCAACCTTACACCCACAAATTATTCACTCCAATCTCTTCTCATTCAAATGACCCAGTGTTTATACTATACCACAAGTTATATACTTGTACTATACCACATATAATTTACCCTGTATTGTACCACACATACCTTATCCTATACTATACCACATGCAACTTATCCTATAGTATACCACATACCCTGTACTATACCAAACATAATTCACTCGATTCTATACCATAATAACTTACCCTGTTCCACGTTCTCCACCACCATCAGTGCTTTCCTGGCAGACCAGCCCCCCATGCTGACATGGTCCTCTGTCCCAGCACTGGTTGACAGGGAATCCACAGAGGAGGGGTGACACAGGGTCTTGTTCTCTGACACTGAAAAAAAATAAAAAAAAGGGTAATTGGTCATTTTGAAAGAGCAAAACTGAATCATTATTTCAGTCAATTTGCATGATAGTAAATGATAATTTTGTGAATAGCAAAATCCTGCCTATGGCCACATTCAGAACCACTTGATCCACATATTAACTAGTCCACAGGTCAAATATGGCACCCCCTTGACAATGGATCTCGGCCTCCAACACATGCCATCAAAGTAGGTCCAGAGCAATTAAATCTCAGCATGCATTCAAGTGGGTGGCAATATATTTGGCCCACAAACTAGTTAGTCCTTGGATGAACTGTTTCTGAATGCACCCTATGCCAGTGTATGTGTACCTACCTAATGCTGCAGCAGTGCAGTGTGCTATCATGAACCCTGAGTTAAGACCACCACCACTGGTGAGGAATGGGGGAAGCTCACTTAATGCTGGAAAGGTTTGTGAAATAACCATCAATAAAGAACAAGTCACTATATATGTGTATAATCTACAATCAGCAGCTGTGGGGAATTTTCTCGATCTACTCGCAATATGCCATATTTTGTTGGCTTTCTGGCCATTTGCCTCTGAGGATGATGGAGTTAATGTTAATTTACATGTAGCTTCTGTCTGAAGTTGTGAGGTCAGCAGAGAAAAGCACCCCTCATCAAATTATTCAGTGGTTATATCATAACAAATAGACTGGTTAAAACATTACCTAGGAAGTGTAAATACTGAAAATACTGCTTTAGTCATAATTATCTGTCCTACAGAAAAAATGCCTGTAATGCTTTCTTTATCTGTCATTAAAGCTGTGGTAATAGCAAATTTTAAAACTAATCTATTTTGTTTTTTAATCATCTTTTACCAGTGCCATATTGAACTGATCAAAAATTGCACTGGAAAAAATGCAAGATTAATGTACATAATAAAGTGTAGTGGGACTTTTTAAGCAATAAATGATTAGTATTATTATCATTATTAATGTTGCTTTAAGTGAAGTTTGCTTATACCTGGATTTACAAGTCTTTCGGTTCTCCTCTCACTCATGTTTGCAATTTCATGGATCCCAATGGCAAGATAATCAAGAGCCTATTGAAAAAGGAAGTAAAAAAGTTTTCTTTTTGTATTTCTACAATGGTTCATTTAACAGATATGACCATTTCATTCTTTAAATCTGAAGTAGCTATCAGAACAGCAGCCAATCTGGTGCACTGTCCTGTAATTCACATTTTCAAAATCAACCACCATTTTTTGTCAATATTAGCTCAGATCTACCGAAAAGGTTTGAGGTGATTTTAGAGTAGAAGTGCATGTATGTATTTAATCAGCAAAGAGGGATTGGAGAATCTTGGGCAATGTGCTTGTGTAGTGCATACCTTTGCAGGATATTCTCCATGGAAGTTCCCACCAGAAATGGATTCCCCACGATCAGGGAATATCATCTAGACATCTGGTTAAGAATTTCTCTTAAAAAATTTGAATTGAAAAAAATGTGTGCAAAATAAACATTATATTCCAAAGTGGCCATATACATTTTGACCCACATCATTAACATATTTAAAATGTGTACAGTTTGTATCCAGCTAATCAACATAAAAAAAAAGTTGGCAGTGGGGTGGGATGAAATAACCACCCTTTTGTCCAAAAAGGTATTTTTGAAACAAAATTTGATCTACTAGTTCTATTTCTCTTCTAAAATTTGATTAAAGAGGGGGGTTAAAAGGTCAATTTTTCACTAAAAAACTCCCTTTGAAATTTTTTGACAGTCTTGATGTGGCATTGAAGTTTGTGTTCATGCAAAGTATAAATACATAAAATCACCCAGATTTAAAACCTAGAACAATGGATACAGGATTGTCAGTAGCACTGTTCATTTCCACAGTGAGAACTCCTTTTACAAAGTCTACAGTATCATGGACCACACCATGGACCTAGAAATAAGAATACTTCCATCAAATAGTGTTATGTGACACATCTTGTCTTTTTTACTTTTTCTTTTCAAACTTTATGTAGCTGATATGCTTCCCCTAACACTCTCTTAATCTGCTTGTATTGAATATTGTTTGGTTAAAAATTGTGAAATGCAAACAATGCTTATATTAATAATTGAATATATATACCAGGTAAACTTTTTTTGGCAGAATTTTGTTATCTTTAACTTCATGTTCCTTTACTATCACAATGTCTTTTAAAATACCAGAGTGAAGTGTCCAAAGCACTACTAGTACATCTTTCCCATCTCACAATCGATGTTTTGTTTTTTATAGCTTCAAAATTTAAAAGCTTTTTTTTTATTTACTTATTATGTTTCTTTTTTTAATTTCAAATCTTACCTGTGGAGTGCAGCGAAGTGTGTAAGCGTCCTGGACACGGTCACAAAACCTGTGACTCTCTGCAAGAAGATAAGTGAAAATCTTTAACAATTAAAAAATAAATGTTATACAACTGTAAACGCCATTGGAAATGGTTCCATTGAGTGATATTTTTATGGAGACATTTAAAACAAAATAATACTTTATAAGGTTAAGTTTTAAATCTGAAGAAAAATTTAACATCATGAGGCTCTTGCCAACTGGCACCATCACCCTGGGACAGACCTTGGGATAGTCCCTGTGACGGACCCTGTGAAGGTCTTTGGGACAGATCCCAGGATAGACCCAAAGATAAACCTTGGGAGAGACCTTAGGACTAAACCTGAGATAGACCTTGGGAAGGACTTTGGGATAGGCCTTGGGATAGACCCTGGGATAGACCCAGAGACAGACCTTGAGACAGACCTTGGGATAGACCCTGGGGTAGACCAGTGCAGATCCAATGAATCCAAAGTGTACTTTTACCTGCTATCTCTGAGGGGTAGATAGTGGAATGGAGCAGAGAGCGCAGTCTTCTGGCCACCTGAATCTGGCCTTTGTGTGGACGCAGTTTATGGATGTCTGAAATAATTTTAATAGGCATTAATACAGAATTTAAACTGTGTACTTTAATTTTTTTCAAATTTTTAAAAATGTACATTCTTTCATTTTTATCATTTTCGCTTCACTGTTTTCTTTGTAAGATTTACAATTATTTTCTGAACTTAAATATATGAAAAAGTTTCATATATTTAAGTTCAGAAAATAATTGAACTAACAGGCCCACAAATCTTTTTCAGGGTGCATGGCATAAAAATCTATTGAAAAAATTTTAACACATTACCCATTCATTTTGTACTCATGTTATACCATATATGTATTGCTGTTCTCATCTTACCAGTATCAAATGCCTTGGTTGTTCCTTTCAGAACATCAATGGTCAAAGCAGCAATCACATCTCCCTGGCGAGCAGCTGTCCCAGCTCTCTCCACAGCTGGAGAGATAAAAATTGTGACACAATCTCAACTAGCACAATGTTGAGTATCCTGCACATCTAAGCACATTTCTCAATTCACTACATATACAGCTCATTAAAATAAGCACAAATAACAATACAATTACATTTAATTCATATGTAAGATGAAAGAAATAAAACTTATAAATGAATACTTAAAGTAGTGATAAAAATGGTTGTTAAGTATTTGCTACGTTCAGTAGCTCTATCTAAAAAAAAAAAAGATTAATTTTCATGTACACTAAAACTGTTTCATAAACAAACTAAATTTGAAATAAGAGTATTATGCAGTAGGCTTTAAAATGTTAATAAAAAACTATCATCAGCATCCACTTTAAGTGGCACAGGGAAAATGCCCTAGAGGCACCTTAAGTTATATTACCACTATAATTTGTTGTGGAACTGTGTATTTCTCATAAAAAATTTTAATGTACACCATACCTTCTATGCCAAGGGCAGTAATAAGTTGGGTACCATTGATGGCAGCTAGACCCTGGAATTTTCAAACAAATAATTTCATTTTTCTCATGCAACATTCAACAAATTGATTCCTCACCAAGAAAATCCGGGGGTAAATAAATCTAGGCCCATGGGCAAATACATGACACATGCCTAAATGGCAATGGGTGTACATTTTAGCTCATGCATGATTCCCAAATGACACCCAAGTCAACATACACATATTATTCAGTGACAAAACAATGAATGTAAGTCCATCTATCCCATTGAATGTCATGCCCTATTACTCAGTATTTTCATTACACCGTTGATAAACAAATACGGTTAATCAAGCCTCACCTCCTTTGCTCCAAATTCTACAGGTTTCAGTCCATGAGATTCTAAAATCTGCAATGGGAAAAAATTTTATGTTCCAGTAATCATGAAAACAATAATGCCAATTAATTTATATTGTTGAGTACATAAAATATTTTTTCAACACTAGGTACAATGCACTCAAAAAAGGTTTACTGCTCCATTATACTATACAGTCATGTTGTGCCCAACAGATTATATTTTATTTGTGTGAGGTCTTTTGTTCAGAGGAGGCAATTAAGCCTATTTTTTTTTAAGATTTGCAAACCTTCCACATTTTGATTCTAATGTATCAATTTCTAACATTAAGTGTATCAACAAAAAAAATGTCCAAATATTTTTTTTTTCAAATCAAAGCATGCTGAATTAATTAAGCTATAAATTAAAGCATGCCGAATAAGTTAAACGTTTAACACTGTTATAAAAATTTGAAGGTAAAATGGTGTCAGAATTCTACCAAAATTTTTAAAAAATCATATTTGAATTACTTGCCATTTTAGCATATGGCAAGTACTCAATCTTTTCATTGGGGGGGAATAGTGAATTTTACAGACAGGGTAATTTTATAAGACATGACTTCTTTAAATTAGAACATTCCTATTGAGTGGTAGCAAGAAAATTAAAAGCAGGCCATTGCACAGTTATACAGAATATAAATTTTGTGATGATAAAATTATGTATCTGAAAGTTTGATAGTTTTTGCCCATTGAAAAGTTCGAGTACATGTAATTACCATATATCAACTTACATATTTTGCCTCTCCCCATCCACTCTCTGGGCTCCACATCTTACCCTCCCCCATGAGCCCCAGAGCCAGATGAGACAGGGGGGCGAGATCACCACTGGCGCCCACGGTACCCTTCTCTGGCACCCAGGGCAGACAGGACGCTAAAGAGAACAAAGTAAAATGACATCAACTGCATTGCCATGAGAGAGAGAGAGAGAGAGAGAGAGAGAGAGAGAGAGAGAGAGAGAGAGAGAGAGAGAGAGAGAGAGAGAGTCCGTCCTTACAAAACTTAAGATTTTTTCCAGAAAACAATTTTTAATTTTTTCTTGCTTTTTAAAAAAGTAATAAAGAACTTAATGAAAAAGAGACAATTCAAAGAAATTAAGATTATTCCTGGATGTGTCAGTACTCATAATATCTTGTACAATTATTAATGCACAATAGACAACATGTACACTGCATATTATCCTACCATTGAATGCATCTATGAAGTGACCCATGCTTTTCCTTGACATGCCACTGTGGCCCTTTGCCATGACGTTAATTCTTAAGGCCAGCAACATGCGTGTGCGCTCAGGCGAAAGAGGTGGACCAACACCAGCTGCATGTGAACGAATCAAGTTTTTCTGCAACTCCCTGACAATAAAAAATTAGACAATTATGTCTGTACATATGTTAATTACACCTCTAAGAAAACATATGGTTAACAACTTAAAAATAATGAAAAGTACACATTCATCCACATTATATGTATCAAACAAGACTTAAGTAAAATAGCGGATTTTATTTTTAATTTACCAATTCAAACATGGAAGAATATTATGGAAAATATGTATAATGATGACTCAGCAATAACTGCCCATTAATTACAAAATCTGACTTTTCTTTACCATCTAATCGCAATGTCAGAGTCTAGACTTAATAAACAAGTAACTTCCAATGTGATATGACCCCAAAAATCTAATCACTTTTCACTCAGATGAATTGAAATAAATTTCAAGGTTATAAATTTGATAAAAAGTTTTTAGGAAATAGACCAGACATGGTCATAGTTAAGAATTTAATGTGTACATTTTCAATACCTAATCTCTTTTAAACCAATCAAAGTAAATAACTTGAACAAATTGTCTTTATAAGTATCATAACTGAAAACCAACTTACAGCAGCTTTTCTTGTTCAATAACAACCCTTGCAAACTTGCCAAAGCCAGTAGTGACTCCATACACAGCTGGAAAGTAAGAATAATCATGTCACACTTTATTCAACTTGGAAAATGGCATGTTAAAAAAGGAAGAAGAATCAATAAAAAAAGTCTAATGGAGAAAAACGTTCATTTGTAAACTATCAATCAAGATGGTTTCCATCAACATTTTCAGAAACCATTTCACTATTACTGTTAATATATATGTACATATTAAAATGAATGAGCTTATACTCATTACACAGGATATAAGAATTTAAATTACTTTTATTTTCTTTCACCATGCAATCAAGCAGGGCTCTTGCCTTGTCCACCTTTTCCCAACTTTCTGTAGTTACCTGGGCAATGAAAAAATACCCCAGTGATTTTAACATACAAATATAACACTGATGAACACGTATTATTTGATTTTTTAGATATACTAGTAAAGTCATGACATCATTTGGAATAATCATTGAGCATCACAACATGAACTTTCATTTGCGCCAGAGACCAGTTTTCATTTATCTACTGTAGGACAATACTGTAGTTTGAAAATGTTTTCTACCTTTATTTTGTACTCCCCCTTCCCTAGCCTCATGAGGTCATCAGCTGTGAGGCTACTGCCATCCAAGTGAATGTACTTCAATTTTTGAAAAACAAAATGTAATAATCAATAAATACATACTGGGTAATGAACATTACAGATTTCTGTTTGGTGAATGTTGGAATGAGTAAGCACTCATACAAAAATGAATGAATAACTACAATCAATGAATACATTAGGTAAATAAACCTAAAGACTGACAAATAAAGGAAAGTACACTGTACCTGTGAAATAAATTCATAATTGGACGAGAAATTGACTAAACATGGGAGAAAAGAACAGATTTCAAGAAATAAAAGCTAAAAAAACAACAGATTCATGGCACAGATCTTCAGCTCTCTTTATACCAGCATCAATGAACAATGTCAATGAACTTCTGTGTACTGAGCACAACTACCGGTACAGCCTACCCAAACCATTCGGACACATTGTGTATTTTCGCGTATTTTCAAGTCAGGCTGGGTCAGATCAGGTCAGATAAGAGGTGCAGTGTTTACTACAGTATAGGCAAGCATAGAAAAAATCAATTAAAAATTTGATGTAAGTTATTGGGTTCAGATTACATGAATTTCTTTAAGTCTCTTCATAAAATATGTGACTGTATAAAATCGCTACCCTGGTTTAAAAGTTGCACTTTTGGAAGTAAGTTTTGCTGTTTTTCTCTGATCTGACAGATCTAGAGATTTTGCAGAATGCAGCATTTAATAATTCTAATAAATAGAACAAAACACAATTATGATATACGTACTCAAAATCTGGTAAAATTGACTAATTCTTGTTAAATGGATTGGCTTGTTGCTAAAAAGGTGAAGGCAGGGTGACCAAAGAAAAACAGCAGTCTGAGGTAAGGGACCCAGACATTAAATGACCTTAAAATGCTGTCAATTGATTGGCTGATAAGTAGGTTAAGCTGGTTCTGTACTTAAACGTGCAAACAATACTTCCTTTTCAATACCATTTTCGTGTATTCTTAGGTTAAGATACACAAAAATTTGGAAATTTTAAAAGTCCACGGTGGTTTACTAAATTTTAAAATACTAAATTCTTGCTCAATGCTTCTTTTAGAAGGGTATGCATGCACAGTTATCACTTTCAAATTAAAACACATAGGGGAATATGTTCAGTTAGACATAAAGAAATGTCACTTTTCTGTAACATTTTCACTGTTTTTTTTAAACTAATTTTTTGAAAATTAAATAAAACTTTAAAAGACATGATTGTTAGTTTATTACATTCATGCTAAATGAACTCACCTCATTGGGTAGAATATATGAGCCTGGACTTGGATAAAATGTCAAGGAGTTCTTAATGAAAAAAAGTCATAACAACATTGCTGTGCATCTTAGTTTGACAGACCTGGTTAACAGCCAAGTTTTGATCAAAAACAAAAAAAAAAATTGCCGTAAGCAAACTTATATTTCTTGGAAGTAGGGAATTTTCCATTTCTAAAAATAGGATTTCACTTATTAACTCCACTGATGAAGTGTTTAGAAAACAAGCAGAAAACATACCGGTAAGCAATACAATTTTTTATTTCTTTTAAAAAATGAAATGAAGCCTTTCTGCAAGAAAAAAATTATTATAGACAATTTCAATATGATACTTCTGGCCCCATAGCCAGCAATTTCAAAAGTAGACCTTTTGGCATGCAATCTTCGTTAACCTAGATAAATTTTACCCAGCAGGAACCTTCTCCCAGCAAAAAAGGGAGTTCTTTTAAAACAAAAAGGATACACTTGCTCTGGTATATAGGTTACTTCCACTGGGCCTGTGATTGGGCTGGAGACATCGCTTTCCAATACTGAAAATAATTAAAAAGATACTTGTTACAGAGGAAACTGCATGACACTTCATGTCAATATTCTTGGAGAAAATTAGGTTAAAATGCAATCAAAACCAAATCAGATGACATTCTTGCTTGGGGGAGTAGTAATTGTCTTTGGATAGATAGTACATGCACCCTGCACATGCAAGCTTGTGTGTATGAGTGTGCGTATTGTGAAACCATTAATCTGCCTTTAGGATGTCAGTGGAGGGGGGGGGGGGTGCTTATAGAAAGAGTTTCCAGTAAACTTTTAAATTCTGATTGGCCTTGCAGCTAAGAGATGGTCAAATTTACAAAAACTGTAGACTAACATTGGCAGTGCATGTGGGCACAGTCTGCCGTGTGGCGGCAGTTCACTGCTCTATGAAAGGCCTCTAGGCCTATATCAAACAATATTGCGTGGATAAGTACAATTGAATACCTGAAGCATACAAATCAGTCTAGTCTGGGCCAGTCTGAACCGACCTTATAAAACGTAATATGTTTTCAAGCTTTGTGTAACTGCAAGCGCAAGGCATTGTTCCGTGCTGCCTTAGCACTTTGTATTCAATACAACTATTATTTAACCGTCAAATTTTCATCGTGCACATGTTTACAACTATATTTTTCTATTCACTTCCCAGACTTCATCTTTCCGGTCAACTTATCGTAGACTTTCATCTATACTCACGAAGAGATTATTCTAAATCAGTAAAACAATTAATCCAAAACTTTCTCTCATTTTGTATTGTTTGGTGATTGAATACCCACGTGTTGTTGGTACATGCATACTGTATGTTATCGTGTTGTGAAAACTACTACTACTACATGTATCTTTATTAAAATGTAAAACATGTATCAAAAGACTCCAAACTTACCAACTGAAACAAACTCGTTGTCATCAAGCACGGATTTAATTAGGTCAGCAGGATCGAGAATGGCCCCTCCTTGCGTTTTACGAACTTCAAATACTTTTTCAATCTCGGTCACATTTTTGTTGGAATCATGCTCAACTGTGCCGCTTTTGTTTCTCGTGTATCGACGGAGTGCCTCTTCACCTAGCCAACCTATAGTTTCATTCCCCCTGCTGCATGGAACTGCAAACCACTCGCCCCTTACTCGCACTGAAAGCTTCATTCTCTCTTCTTGTGTTCTTGTTTTCTGTGTGTTGGGAAACTGCGCTTTTATTTTGAGCCCGTCAACACTCCCCAAGCCACGTGCTTATTTATGTTGTCGCGAAAGCGGCGTCACAATAGGCCAATCAGAAGCCCGAATTTCAGACACACCTTTTCTGCGTGTGTCTAATGCTGAGCACGGTATGTCGGTATGTAAAAACTTTCTTATTTATGAAATTATTCTAAAGCAAATACACCAATTCCTCGTCTTTCGACAGTAAAAAACGTAAAGAAGTTATCTAGTTCAAAGTATTGATGATTAGTTTTGCATTTCGTGTGAATTATCATTCTTGCTTTTCTATACATCCAGAGGCACATCCGCTTTGAAGCTATCAGAGAGCATGGCAGGCAGAGTAAAGAATACAATATCTTTCGTGAAAAGCATATATAAAGATGACTTTAGATGGTATGTAACAAAAATATTTTTCACCAGTGTTTGGTCATTTTGAGCCTGGTAGATTTTTTTACTTAAATCTGTACAGAAAATTGTATATGATGGCATATAATAATACATTGCATAATTTACATTATGGCTTGATCATGGCATAGGCGACACACAAATCGAAACATGATTTATTTTAGCAGGGATTAAGTGGCATATAAAGGGCAAAAAGTTCAATATAAAGGATAATTTGTCAGGTTAAAATCCGTTCTTATTATCCAAATGATCAAATGATGGCCAAGAAAGGTAAGGTCGTTGATGTAGTTGTTCTCCTACTGTAACTTTGCCCCTCTTTGGGTTGGTTTCTGGTTGAAGTTGGTCTGGCAGCACCCTGAGCTTCACAGATAACTTGACACTAACCTCTTCACAATAGCCTATCTTCATCGTGTCAAGTTACCTCTGACGAAAATAGTTTGACCTAGTTTATATAAGCCAATCGAATCCAAGTTTCAAAATTTTTCACCAAACTTTGGTGAAAACGCTGATTGGTTGACCGTCAATCGGTAATCCTCGGCTGATTCCGCAAGCTCCATACTAACAACAAAGTTATTGTCGAGTGCGGAGACATCCGAGTAGTGCCGAGTGCATAACCGTACACAAAGAAAGCATGGCGTCTTCTACGAGTGACTACGTAAAATAATGTGTTATCTCTTGATTCTTTGCAAAATATGAGTATATCGGAATTGAAACCAGAGCAGTTTGAGGCCCTGCATCATTATCTACTGAGGGATGATGTATTTTGCGTGCTGCCCACAGGTTACGGCAAGTCCCTGATATTGAGCCTTATCTCTGATTGGTCCGGATTTGAACAAAGCGCGCTTTGACTCGTTTGCGTTCATTGGCTAGATCGTTCAATGAGTCATTGAGTGCGGGCTTTAAATTTGATTGGCGGGCGGCGGGGGCAATTGAATGTGGTCAGAGGTAACTTGACACGATGAAGATAGGCTATTGTGAAGAGGTTAGTGTCAAATTATCTCTGAAGCTCAGGGTGTCTGGCAGTGAACATGCCTCAACATTAAATAAAGGTCTCAAAAGAGGAAAATTGACCAAATTGTGGATTTAAAAGGTACTAGTGCCTGTGATGTAATTATTATTGGATGGTGTAATTAGTATGAACAGTCTTCAACAGGAAAATTGCACAAAATTCATGCAGTGCTACACATGTAACAGTGTACATATAAAAAATCTCCAGTATGAGAGCTAACGCGTGAATATTGTGCTGCTAGGAATTGACTGACCATGAGTACCTGATCTTGCATAAGTTGAAGCATTGTTTTACTTCATTGTAAGTCCAGCAAAATTTATTTTTTTCCTCTCACTGTATTTGATAACACACTTTTGGATGGATCTGTCACCAGGACATTCACTCTCTCTTTAAATTAATACTCGGTACATACTGTAACCAGTATGAATTATCAGTTTTTTATTCCTTTTACAGGTCAATAGTGAAGAGTGCAGTAGTATTTCTGGGTGGAGTTTTACTAATCCAGACCATTGCTAATTTGGAACCAGAGCCATTACCAGCAGCTCCCCAAGCTTAGACCAGGTAAATTATACATAGCAGTACTAAAAATTAATAATTTACTATAAAGTTCTTATATAAGAAATGATTGAAGTTTTAACAGTGACATGAAAAAAAGACATTTGATTTAAAAAAAGTTTCATTCACCTTCCTTTGATATTTCAGGCAAGGATATTTATGCAATGGAAATATCACAGTTAAAAGGAAATTGAAACCTCAGGGATACATCTGGCATGACAAAAATATAAATGATAAAAGACTTGAGACATTTTGCAGTGGTTTTAAGACACTGAACCCAGAGATGGAGGTTTCAAGTGCTGTGATTGGAAAGAGACAGCTATCTAAATACTAAATTTGGATAAAACCAGCACTTGGACTTTGGAATAGACTTGAGATGTATTGGGGAAAAATAATTTTAATGTAAAAAATTACATAAACAATACATATACATTTGTGTGGTGTAACATGTTTATATACGAATAAAGGTATGTTCTAAATCTGAAATGCACTGCTTATTAGTACCACCAGCGTATACGCTGGCGGTACTCATGGTTTTAGTCCCGGCCCGTCTCGTACAGCTCCGCCGGCTCCTGCGGCTCCGCAGTCGGGCGCCGGAAACAAGTCACCGTTACCGCTTCTCCTCCTAGACCGCCAGGACCTGTGTCCCCATCTCTTGGATTTAGTTCACATATGATCTCAACTTGAACACCCTGGTTTTTTTGTCTCTGTCGGTACATTGGCCTGGGCGTGACACTTGTTGAAACGCACCCTTGTCAAAATTTTTGAAAATTCAAGGCTAAATATCTCCCAAACCAAAGGAATTATGGGAAAAATTACCACAGAAGCCTGACCGAAAGTCATATCTGGAGATTCCAAATATGCCCTTAGATTTGACTTTTGACCTTTTTTTCAAGGTCAAACAAGCCAAAATTTTCTAAAAATGGGAATTTTCTGCAAAAAAATATTTGTTTGTGCTATTTTTTGGAAACTACACAGATCTAAGCTCTCCTGTTATAGTGAGGGGTTACAATTGGGGACTCCTTTCATCTTTGGGAGTTTGGGGTCAATCGGTGCATTTTCACGGGAGAAGCAGCCATTAGATACCGAAACTGAAAACTTGCTTTTATTCTGGAATG